CCTCGGCCAGGCCTGGTTTTGCCCCTTCCGCATTGTCATGCATTGTGATCATAAACGGATTGAGTGGTTTGAGCGATTTTGTCGGCGTTGAGAGAAACACATTTGTTTAGACCGCTTGGGGTGCACGAGTTATCTTGTAATGTGCAATAAAATGAATTTGCACTCTTACTCTTACTTTTGCTCCAGATCTACTTCGGTGTAATACTCATAGTATATGGTTATATTGGTCTGCTTTTGTTCACTTTTACTCTTTCGCCGATTGACTGTCAAAAGGGTTGTATCTGTTTGGAAATTTTGCGAAAAAGGGTAAAAGTGAGGCATAATAGAAATATTGCGCCAATTTATTTCAGTTTGTCGAATTTTTGGACAACGATTGCATATTAACTTTAAATGTGACGTCGTAAAGGAAATAAAATATGAAATTCAGTGGAGCATAATGTGATTTTTATTTGGTGAGTTAACTTTCGTTATAAATATGCAATGAAGTCATTTTAAAGTTAACTGGAAGTGTATAGCAATAAAATAAACAACTAATTCTATAATATTATTTTATTGTGAAAAATAATGAGCAAAATCTGATTTTATTGAAAAAATTGTTCAAATTTGAGGTTTTTCTGTTTGATTATTTGTTTTTATAGAGTAAACGTAATCAATTCTCATATTCTTCTGCTTACATCTTCAAAACGCCAGTTTTACCACGATTTTGAGACACAAAATGTACTTTAGTCACAGCCGTGACTAAAGTATTTTTACAAATTACAAATTTTCATTAACTCCTTAAAAAAGTTTAAAAAATGGAGAAAACCATTTTAACCTTGAATTATTTGCTTTCCGTGTGCGATTTTTTTACAACGTGATATAATCGTTCTGGATTATAAGTTTATGCCCGGCTGGCAATAAAATAATTGCTCTAAAAACTTGGAATTTTTGCTTTTCGTCCGGCATTGCCGCAAATATTGTCCGAAACCTCCGAAAACTATATCAAACCAATAAATCCGCATTGCCCATTGCCCATTCGTTCCATATTTAGTTATTTACCATAATTTTTCTCATCCCAAGCTCTAGACTTATTCAGGGCCGTAAAAAATACACGCCGCATGTGAGATATGCCGCCAATCATCCCCCAAAGCGCACTAAACGCGCAATAAAAACATTTGGGTTCGTCATGGTCAAAAAATACGAACGCAGAACCTTGTGATAAGTTTACGACCGCAATATGGCAACAAGTAATAAACTAAAAAGCAGTTTCAGATTTTAACGCGCGCAATTCGTATAATTTTAAAATTTTTGAGTTTTGAGTTTTAGGTAGAAAAATTGTGAAATATTGCACAAAATTTTAGTTGGGCATTAGAGTACAATCGAGCATTACTCTAATTTAAATTTTTAGGGTGGGCCACTGGCACACGTTCCTGGAAAGTCAAAAAGTGCATTATTTGGTTTAAAGCGGTCTGGAAAATTGCGTATATCGGTAGTTATATTGGAGCAAATAAAAATATCGCAATTTTTCGATGTATTTGCGTCAATTTTTAAGTTAAATATTATTGCACTTAAAAATCAGTCCCCGCTTACTACAAAGTCAAAAGTTTCTGACTTTTCCATATTTTAACATGTTTAAAATTAAATTTACTTCACAGAAACTGAACCAAAGAAGATAAAATGATGAAAAAGTAAAAACGGTTGTGCTATAATATAAAAAATTCTTTTTTATCACGAAACTTTCGATTTTAGCACTTACTCAAGCAAATTTTATGATTGCATTTTTTGCAAATGTTTATACGGCTGTTTTTTTGCAACCCTATCATTAAATTTACAACTGAAAAGTAAAATCCTTTCCATTTCTTATATTTTCGCAAAAATTTCCAACTTTTGTCAATTTTATAATACTCAAGGGTTGCTTGCGTTGAAATGCTGTCCCTTTCGGTTATCCCTTTCCTATTTTGTTTCATTTACAACTCTAGAACATCTAACCCTTGGCAATTGCAGTCGTAAAGCGAAAATCTGCACACTTTGTCGGCGTTGGAAGTTGCAACCCTTCTTATAGCATGTGCATATTTTTTAACATCCGCTGTAAATTTTTCGCAAACAAGTTTGCACATTTTACTGATTGCGAAGGTCGCGCATGTTATTTCCAGTCATATTCTTTAACAACGCTTATAGATGGGTTGTTAAAGAGTTATGAGCACAAAAAATAAATTTTAAATTTTGCGAATGTTGATAAAGCAATAAAACAAGAAATATACTAAAATTTTGGAAGAAAATTTATTTTAGTTTCTTCATAATCTCACATAATGAGTATTCGAATAAAGAAAAAGAGAAAATTTCTGCGTTGAGGCTTTTTGTAAGTTTTGTAAAATTATTGCACGTGCGTTCTTTGTACGAGTAAATTCTCTTGTACATGCGTACTCGGTAAATGTAGGGCGGAATTTGGTAAATAGAGGCACATTGGAAGTCGCGTACACGAACGTGAAACGTGATGTTTGCGTATAATTCGTAAATGCTTGGAAATTTCGAAAACTCTTCCAGTTTTTTTTTTGCTGGGTCTTTTGTTGCTGCGGTATGTACGAAAATTAATTGTAATTGGATACTATAGATTTCATGCATGAATAAGTGATCATTATTTTATACTTACGCACGTAACAAGGTTTTTAAGAAGTAAAATTATGGTTTATTTTATTTCACAAACAGAAAAAAACTTATCCATAACCCATAACTATTTCTAGGTGTTTATTAGCAAAATATAAGAAATTTTGGTTTCATACGTGAAGTATAGGTTAATAACTAATGCAGACGAATAATTTTGGTATTATTTTCAATTATGAAGTTAAAGAAAAATTAACTTCAGAAAATAAGAAATATTAGGATTATAAATTATTCTTAAACTTTTAATTATTAGAATGTTAAGTTTCGATGCAAATTCTTTTGTGCTTTTACCTGTCTATCTCTGAATTCTTTTTGTTTGAAGTCAGTTTTAATTAATACCGCGCTAAAATTAATATATTCCCAAAAGGACGGCGTGCCAGCCGACAACCTAATCAGGCGTTCAAAAGCAACCGCAAAAACTTAGTCAGACCGCTGCTTAATTGGATACAATCTCCTAATCTGGCACCTATGCTTATTAATCACTACGTGGAATTTACAATGTTAAATATGTTAATTCCTAATTATAAATTATAAATTATAAATGTGATTATGTTTCGGCAGCTTTCAAACCCATTTTCTTACTTTTTTTTTATTTAATCAACACTTATTATCATCAATTTTTCAACATTTAAACATTTTTGCCTTCAACTTCTTTAATTCTTTAATTTTTTAATTTTAATCTGTTTTTTCTTCTTCGCTTGCTTCTTTTGTCGCATGTCTCATGTCTCATCTTCCCAATGGTTTAGTGTCATCTTGTCTTACCGTCCACTCGTCATTGATTTCTTTGTGTCGTGCGCCGTGCCGCCTGCGGCTCGTAAAATCAACACCCAAGCCACCAACCTTCGTCTTCTTCGTAGGCAAAGAAGTCTGCACGTAATACTATATCTTTAACAGCGTCCAAGTCCTCTCAACCATAAAACAGTTTGCGCTCACGTTCTGACCCTGACTAGGGTTGCATTTCGAGGGTATCGGCAGAGAAAGACAGAGATAAAAGCAAGAGGGTCTAATAAACGCCGCACGCCGCCGTCAATGCGTGCGCCCATCATCATCATAATTGGTTTATTATGCGACAAATTGTCGGCGCAAATGTGTGCCGTAAACAGAAATTACCGACGACGATCGGTGCGATAATAACGTTTATTGGATTTATTATGTTTATATGATGCATCAGGTACACGTTCAGAGATTCTCGCTTAACGTAATTAAATCAGGAACATTTCAGAGCTATAAATTAAGAAAATATTAAAATTGTGTCAAAGATAATTATAAAACTGCAATTATTAGATTATTGAACCTTTGCAAGTAGGAATTTTTTTCAAATATGGATTTATCAATCGTACGATTTGTATTTTTAATCCTCAAGTGTCTGATTCATTAAAATTTGTAGCGAAAACACACTGCACATCAGATAAAATCATTTTGACGATAAACTCGTAACCTGTATTCAGGTAAAAGTGAAAGTTGTCGATAGGTCGATTTTTGATTGTTTATCGTCCCTATTGTACCGCAGTGCAATGCGGTTTTTTTTGTTATTTTTATTTTTTTTGCAAACGAGTTTTTTGATTTCCCCAGCTCACTAGTAATTTTTTACACTTATTTCTCACATCCTCAATCATTTTACCATAAATAAACGCTCACAAACTGATTTCACCTGTGCGGTGTTTTAGACTTTTGCGTGGCTACTCTACCAGCTAGTTAATGTGCTAATCGCTCCCTCAACAACTCGCAGCATCCCAAGGTGTGTTTCTGAACACTTCGAAGACACGTTGCAACCAGCACCTCGCGTGGTATGCGCAACGCCTCGAAGCGTCGATGTTCATCACCTGCTGTTACATAATTACTAGGTTCCAAGCACGCTGCGGTGCTCTTTCATCCCCCTTGAGTGTGTCCGGGCTTTACACATTAACTTCTTCGGTTTTCGGGTTTAGCTAACTGCTAACACGATTCTCGTTATAATTTTCGATTTTACAACGAATGTTTCACATAAAATGAAAATTTTGTAGTTGTTGATAGTTAATATGTTCAGAAACACTCTGTATTTATAAAAGATGAGCAAACAAGGCTAAAATTATAGGATTGAACAATTTTCTTTGAGTTTTTTCTGTTTTTTAATTAATGTCAAAAATAGAACGCTTACCAAACTGAAATTATTAGATACCTGTAAGTTTTAACATCAATTCGTTGTTTGCTTAAACCTTTGGCTTTCAACATGTTGATATTGGTAGTAGAACAACCCCTCAAGGTGTCAAACACGTGCAAGTCGTAAATTTATAGCTAAAACAACAAAAAATTTAAAAACAAACTAAGAAATTGATATATGTGTATTTTGGGTTGCCTAACTTGTCAAACTAAACAACTACTTTGATTTAAATCAAAATTGTAATTAGGAAAAAATTACAACAAGTAAAAATATTAATTTCACATGCAGATGTGTGAATAAAGTTCAAGCTTTCAAATGTGCGTGTTTTGCAAGGTGATGATTGCTAACTCTTTGCTTGACGTCTTGCAAAAACCGCAAAATTACCATCGTCACCACCACCGTCACATGCCACGCAGAGGTAGCTCATATTCTTTCCCATTTTCTCGTTTTTATTTGCACAACTTGCGCGTTGCGAATTTCGCCCGCGGCTGGCTGTTGACTTTGGCAATTATCACCGAAAGTGTTTGCTCTAATAACAGGGTTAAGAGACCGACGGCTCGTTAGCGCGCCGATAATTTTTGCGCGCATCTTCTCGCCGGAATCACCTCTTCGCAACTTACACAAAACACACAAGCGTGTCGTGTCGCGTCTCTCGCGAAATCGGGTGCGAAGTGTTGGAGCATTGTTATTATCGCCCTTCTGATGCTGGGTGGAAATTTGCGCGTGTATGTTCGCTGCAAGATGGCTGTCATTATTCCATTAAAAAGCGGGCAAAACAAACGAAGATAATGGACAAACAACCGTTGAAGAGGTGGTGATGGATGCGATGATGAGCCCTCTCGCAGCCACCGAACCCGTCATCACTTTGCTGCGCACTCTTTCTGCTTGGCAGATTGGAGGAAAACTGGAAAAAATTATGATGAAAACAAACAGCGTCGAATTTCGCGCAATTACGTGCGCAGCTGCACGTTTTTACATTTTACAGCAGCCGCAACTGCTTATTATGTTGATTAAATGACACTACCGGCACTAGAAGATGCGTTAAACCGTTATATATTTTCAAATCTAAGTAAAATATGTTTTAAAAGCAAAAATTTTGCTTTCATATTTTGAATTACGTTAAGAATATTCATTTAATTCAACAGTTTAATGTTTCATTGTATGCAACTTTTTATACAGCAAAAACTGTATGTACTCATTACATGTTTCATAATACATAACATGTCCATTAGGTGAAGTAAAGTACATAACATTTAGTTAGGTTAGCCAGAAGAAAGTATCATGAATTAAATTTTAATATACAAAATACTTAGTTAAAGAAATATAAAATCATGTTGAGACAACTTCTACATTCTGTGTCTACGTTTAAACCATCAGTAAATCTCTACAATTCGAATAATCAACCTATAAAAACGATTTTAACCCAAAGATTCATCTCAAAAACACAAATCAATTGGAAAAAATCTAAAAAACGAGAGGTTGAGAGTGACTCTGAAGACGAAAACACCAATACTTACGAAGATACACTCGTCGATAAAAACAGTAAAGTTTTAGATGTCAAAGTAACAAATCTGAGACTTGATGGCATTCTACGTGTGGGTCTTGGTTTGGCTCGAAACAAAATTGAAGTAAACTTTTATGAGAGCAAAATACGACTTAATGGAGAAAAAGTGTTAAAGAAGAGTGAATCAGTTGGTATAGGAGATGAGATTGATGTTATCAAAGGTCCAAGTCCAACAAATCCGAAATTATTGAGTGTTGCAAGAGTTGATGTGCTGAACATCACACCAAAGGATGATTATATCAGCATGAAGTTAAGGAGATGCAAAAGTTTATTGATAGAAAACTATAATGATGGATGGAAGCCAAGTTAGCAATTGTAACAAGTTCTAGATTAATAATTGTACAAATATAAATAGAAAATTACCTAAATTTGTGGTTGAACTTGATGTTTCATTTTTTTGATGTTCTTGATGTTATTGTATATGGAAAACTTGGATGCAGGGAAAAAGTTCAACAAATGCTGCCAGTCTTGTAGCTTAAGGCTGCAAATCTGTGATATATTCTTTGATTGAAACGTAAAAGTGTGTCTTAATGTTGCATGAAGTCCTTGCATCTGAAAAAATGAAACTTTTTACTTGTTTTTATGATAAAGTCAAAGTTTTTAAGCTGTAATAAAACCTACCAATCCAAAACAATCCCTATCATGCAGAGCATCAACCACCATATTCAAATTCCTATTGTTGACCACTTCTACATGCCCATAAAAAATGAAATACATCATTCCATTCAAGTCACCTTCATGACAAATAATATCACCATGCAGAAACAGCCCCACTTCCATGAATCCAATCATTTGTTTCATGAAATCCTTATGACACCCATCAAATACAGGATTATGATAGATTAAATACCCAAATGCTTCGTTTTTCAATAGATTGAGAATAGGTTTGGATGGCAGCAATGCTGATAAGTAATACGATGAAAGTTTGCCTCTGTTCACCAACCAGGCATGTTCAGTATTAATGATAATCTTCTCTTCAAAACTTTGTGACGCTTTCAAGTTAATAATATCGCGATAGATTCGCTTGATATTGTGATTGAAGGTTAAAAGGTAGTGATATTTCAGTTTGAACATACTCAGTAGATTCGCAAAGAATATTATGAATAACATTCGTGTTATCAAGAGGTACAGCAGGAGCATTATTATCGAAGTGGCTGTTTGAGGCACGTAATGTTGTCCTCTAAATGTAACGTACGATATTGTCAAAAACAAAGAATGTAACAATTGCGTATGATTCTCGTATAGGAAGATACAAAATCCCATGTAGATAACCAACATCATATAAACCAAAATGGCGCATGTTTGGATAAATATTGTTTTTGAGGGGTTTTGCTTTTGTATTGACTTGAAATACTTTGGTAAACAATACTAAAACATGAAAATTAATATAATAATTAATATTTTAACAAGAAAATCAGGGAATTACGATTCTTAGAAGTCTGTTGAAGTGTAACAATTGGAACCAAACATTCAATTCAAACATGGTTGCTAGTTCAATAGGAATCAATGATAGCAATTCAATAATTACACATTTATGTGTCAATGTTTTTCTCAATGAAACATTTCTTGATAATTCTGAGCAGATCATAACCAACAGTTTGATTACTGTTAAAAAATCCAATTCATAACAGATCAAAATAAGACTCCAATGAAATATCTCTTCAGGCGACGTTATGAGAATCCAGTTGCAACAAAATGAAGCAATTGCTATGATTAAATAGAAAGTAGACATTATTGATGGCATTTTTCTATCCAACAATATATCTTGCGTCTTCTGAAGTATAGATTTATATGATACTTCTTCAGTTGTACTTTCCACTTGTTTCTTCTCTGGAATACAAATTATATTCCCTGATAAACAATAATCATTCAATGTAGATGTTAAACTATTCGTGATTAATTCATAGAATTGTGTTGTTTTTATTTTCAATAATATGACCATGTTTTCTGTGCCTCTGCATGTTGCTGTGACCATGGATCGAGTCATATTGACATTGTCAAAGTTACCAAATATGCTACCAACTTCCAAGACTTCAATAATTGTTGAATCACTTGCCAGTAAATGCACTTGTCCAGATTTCACGATGTATAATGTATCAATGATTTCATTGACTTCAAAAATGTCGCATTTGGAGTGGAAAGATTCGACAAGATGGCTGGACAATGCGCGTTTAGATGCTTCCTCCAATAACATAAATTTAATTTGATTTAGAGTGCTTAGATGTAGAAACTCTTGAATATCATCGTAAAGAATTCGATGATTTTTCACGTAGATAATACCGTGTGCTTGATAAGGTCGGGAGGAATTACTATACACATAAAGCATTACAGTGTCATTTGTAGTCTTTGAGATTTTAAACGTTTTCAGAAATAGCAGCAAACATTTCAAGTCTTCAGTGAATGTATTTCCTTGTTGACGAATCTGATACATAGCTACAAAGTATGCGGTTGTTACTCCAAGCATAATATAACCTGAAATAATCAAAAGTTTGGTTATGTTTTTTTAAATATTTTAAAAGTTAATCGTACCTAAAGTAGTGTTGAACATAGTAAGCCGTAGTTTTTTCATGTCCATTAGTTCATTTTCATTATTCATGTTACAAGAAACCAGGAAGAATTCAAACGATACCTTTCTTAAGCATATTATATAGAATTCAAAGTTTGTGTAGGTTAGATCCGGTAGAAAATTACCAATATTGTGTATTACATCATAGAGATACGCAAAACGATAGGTTGTTATCATTAAAATGTTTGCTAGAAGATTGAGCAATGCAAATGCTGAGCAAAACATTAAAATTCCAAATCTGAATGACATAAAAATTAATTAAAATTATTTATTAATAATAATTTAATTTACGTACTTTAACATTTTGCGATTTTCAAGAAACTCGTCCATATTCCAGAATTCTCTTGTCCTTACTAATAATATGTATTTATTTAATCCCAAAATATGAAAATCTCGGTACGCAAATTTTCTTTGACTGGTCACGTAGAGTCTGATTATCAAAATGAGTTTGATTGGGAAACTCCCAAACATATCAATGCAGAAACGAGTTTTTAGGTAATGCGATGCTGTTGCTTTCGGATGGAGAACCAGAATGTTGTTTTCGTTGTAGTAACAAACATGCATTTGTAAATACCTAAAATTTATATATTTGAATAGAAAATAATTGAGGTTAGATTAAATTTAACCTAAAAGATTATATTTTACTTACATGTCTACTAACATAACACAAAAAAATATAAACGCCAAAACAAACTCGATATAAACATTATTCTCCCAATAATAATACAATAAACCATCGTAGACACAAGCCAGCCAAACAATTGCAGATCTAATCACCTCCCACCAGAACAAAAACTTTCCATCTGGCAGCAAAGTTCTCTTCATTAACACAGATTTCATCCACTCAGAGTATTTATTTCTTTGAAATTGATAATTCCACTCCAAATGCTAGAATTTAATTGTCTATCAGAATCCGAAAAATTCTAATTTTTACTTTTCAACATTCTTAATTAAAAGATTAAATCGTAATTATCTCGACAACTAAATGGGCTAGAAAAAAAAGAACTTCATATTCATGATCCTTGAAAAATTCTCAACAAGATGGTATCCTTATTGAAAAATGATGAAAATGGCACAAAAAATATTTAAAGAAAAGATTTTATTAAAAAAATGGCAAAAGATTTCTCTTTTTTATGTTGAAAATTAAAAGTTGGAATTTTTGAATTCAGTTTTCGAATTCTGATAAGCAATTTAATTCTACATCAATTGTTTTGGTTTTTTTTTTGCTAGCATTAACTGCTTAGGCCCTATTTGTAATTTTATAGAAAAAATTGAATATGTACCGAAACAAACTGAAATAATATATATAATAATTAGGCGGGAACTGTCTATGTCCACTTTCTGCGTTCCTAATACTGCAGACTGATGAGCAGCAACATTTCAGCAAATTTATCGACAAATTTTGTCGAGAAATCCATTGAAATTGGTAACAAAATTCTTTTGAATATTAGGATCGCAGAAAGTTGAGGAGGCTGAATCTCCAGCAATCTTGAATAGCGGCGTAGTTTTAGTTACTCGTGGATAGATGACACTAGTGATACCGTTTTTAAATTAATATTGATACAATATAAAATTGATTTTGAACTATTTCTCATATCTAGCAGTGGCATTTCCATTAAAGTTTAAGGATTTTATGGATTAATTAAAGGAGTAACGATGTTGCGAGCTATGTTCTCCGTTTGGAACAAATAAAACAATAAAAATTTATAGTTAAAAGTATAAAACAACAATTTTATTCAAACATGTAGAATATACACCCATCAGTAACTCAATTTCTCAATATATACATGTAATTATACAATTTTTAACATAATAAACAAAAATGATAGCAATAACAGCTTCGAAATGTTGTAAATTCATTCAATCGAATTTGGAATCATCATCAACACCGGCAATCCAATCTTCAATTTCTTGGACACTATAAACCAGAAAGAATAACAGAATAGTAAAATATAAAATATCATGAATTGACAAACTATAACATACGTTCTGGGAACTTTAGTCCAGTTGCAACATCCATTTTCAGTAATCAAAATATCATCCTCAATACGCACTCCACCAGTGCTACGAAACCACTCCAGCCGGTCATTATTGATAAACCTAGCCATCTCAGAATTAGCCAATGCTTCATCTAACAATTGGAAAATATTTATGTAAATAAAGTATACATATACATATACATAAATTAAATTAATTATTCTTACAAGATCCATAAAGACTCCCAATTAGGGCACCGTACGAAGGTAGCGCCTGTACTGACTCCCATTCAAGGCACCGTACGAAGATGGTGGTAGTAGTAACTCCTAGAATCAAACCTATATTAGTCGTAATGATCAAATTTAAAGCTGCGTAATAAAACTACAATTCCTAACGCAACGAATACTATGGCGCAAAACACAACTTTCAATATAACTCGCGTTACGGAATTTTCTTGCAATAAATTCCTATACAGGGGTGTACAGAATTAAATTACGCATCTATGAAAGTTTATTCAAACTAATTACAAGACCGCGTTCGCGAGTTATAGCAAAAAAACCACAATTTCTAACGCAACGAATACTATGGCGCAAAACACAACTTTCAATATAACTCGCGTTACGGAATTTTCTTGCAATAAATTCCTATACAGGGGGGTACAGAATTAAATTCCGCATCTAGGAAAAGTCGAAGTCGAGCAATCAACGCCGCGAGAGTTTATGATAAGACAGCAAGAGATGCGCACAGTCGGCGCGTCGACGGCCGGCGACCTTGTGTGCGAATTGCAATAAACACGATACCTGCGAATTAATCTAAACTAGAATATGCGGCACACGCGGCAAATGGTTACGGCATGAGAGGATGACAACGACAAACAAAGAAAATCCTCACATTTTTCTCAATTTTCTCATAAACCAAACGCAATAGAAAGAAACAGATTGAATATTCTTAATCTATGGAAAATTTTCTACAAGATATCTAAAAACCAAAAAATAGTTTATAAGGGAAGATGGGTAAGAAGGGGTACTACATCATTTTTTTCGAGGATTTTCTACTACACGAGGCTAGAGGTAGAAGTGATTCCCATTCAGGGCACCGTACGAGGGCAGCGGTAGAAGTAACTCCCATTAGGAAAAAATAGGCAAGGGGGGTGCGGTATCATGTTTTTTCAGAATTAAAGAAATATTTTTTAAACTAAAAGCGTTAGCGACCGGCCAATCAAAGATTAGATCAAAGATGCCCATTTTATTCAATCACGAATATCTCGTAAACTAAAAGAGATAATTAAGATCTGATCGCAGCGTCTTAATCTACGGACTATTTTCTATCATATAAGATAGTTAAAACGGAAATCTGAGAGATGAAATTTTAATTCTTAAGAAAAATTGCCAAGGGGGTGCTTGATAATTTTTTTCGACGATTTTTAAAAATTCATATCTCTTAAACTAAACGTGTTAACAACCAACGAATTGCTGATTATGAAAGATTGGAAAATTCCCTATCAGATAAAAATATAAAATAATTATATTTCCTACAGTAAAAGGTCGAAAAACGCGACTAAAAGTGCTAAAAAGTGACATTTTGCAATTTTTGCCCATTTTATTCAATCGCGAATATCTCGTAAACTAAAAGAGATAATTAAGATCTGATCGCAGCGTCTTAATCTACGGACTATTTTCTATCATATAAGATAGTTAAAACGGAATTGTGAGAGATGAAATTTTAATTCTTAAGAAAAAATTGCCAAGGGGGGGTGCTTGATACTTTTTTTCGACGTTTTTTGATAATTAATATCTTTTAAACTAAAAGCGATAGCAACCAACGGATTGCAGCATATGAAAGATTGGAAAATTCTCTATCAGATAAAAATATAAAATAATTATATTTCCAAGAGTAAAAGGTCGAAAAACGCAACTAAAAGTGCTAAAAAGTGACATTTTGCAATTTTTGCCCATTTTATTCAATCGCGAATATCTCGTAAACTAAAAGAGATAATTAAGATCTGATCGAAGCGTCTTAATCTACGGACTATTTTCTATCATATAAGATAGTTAAAACGGAAATCTGAGAGATGAAATTTTAATTCTTAAGAAAAAATTGCCAAGGGGGGGGGGGGTGCTTGATACTTTTTTTCGACGATTTTTAAAAATTCATATCTCTTAAACTAAACGTGATAACAACCAACGAATTGCTGATTATGAAAGACTGGAAGATTCTCTATCAGATAAAAATATAAAATAATTATATATCCTGCAGTAAAAGGTCGAAAAACGCGACTAAAAGTGCTAAAAAGTGACATTTTACAATTTTTGCCCATTTTATTCAATCGCGAATATCTCCTAAACTAAAAGAGATAATTAAGATCTGATCGAAGCGTCTTAATCTACGGACTATTTTCTATCATATAAGATAGTTAAAACGGAAATCTGAGAGATGCAATTCTAATTCTTAAGAAAAAATTGCCAAGGGGGGGTGCTTGATACTTTTTTTGACGATTTTTGATAATTAATATCTCTTCAACTAAAAGCGATAGCAATCAACGGATTGCAGCATATGAAAGATTGGGAAATTCTCTATCAGACCAAAATATAAAATAATTTTAATAAGTTTATAATAAGAAAGCAAGAGGTGCGCAAATTTGGCGCGTCGACGGCCGGCGACCTTATGCGCGAATTGCAATAAACAAGATACCTGCGTATTAATCTAAACTAGAATATGCGGCACAAGCGGCAAACGGTTACGGCATGAGTGGATGACAACGACAAACAAAGGAAATCTTAACATTTTTTTCGATTTTCTCAGAAACTAAACGCGATAGAAAGAAAAAGATTGAATATTCTTAATCTATGGAAAATTTTCTACAAGATACCTAAAAACCCAAAAATAATTAATAAGGAAAAATGGGCAACGTTCCCCTCTTAAATCTTTTTTTTTTTTTTGAGATTCTTTTACCGTACGAGGCTAGCGGTAGAAGTGACTCCCATTAGGAAAAAATAGGCAAGGGGGTGCGGTATTATGTTTTTTGAGGATTTAAGAAATATTTTTTAAACTAAAAGCGCTAGCGACCGGCCAATCAAAGATTATGAAAGTTTGGAAAATGGCCAAGAAAATACTAAAAATACGGGGTGTAAAGGTTTTGAAATCGTGTCTAATAGAGCAAAAAAGTGTACATATTCATTTGTTGACAGTATTTTTCGGTTGTGAATATCTGGTAAACTAAAATAGATACAGAAAGGCAGATTGAAACGCGACTATCTTGTGTCTGTGCAACGTGCGGTGGTACATGAAATAAAAAAGCTACTTAAAAACTACTAATGTGCGACGCAGAAATTAAAACAAAAAGTATAATTGAATTATAAACTTACCAATGCAGAACTCATCCGACTCCAAGGCACCGCTAATACTGTAAATAAGAAAGAAAACATAAGTTAAAACAAAAATATTTCATATTATTTAGTAATATTATATTCACACAGCGGAGAAAAAAAAACATATGAGCTGTATGGTTAAAAGTTACTTACACCAACTCGATGGGTCATCCTAATGATGTATAAATCAATATTTTTAATTGATTCACCTAACAACTGTTGTGAGTTACAATATACACTTTCCGCGCGATCACAAACCGGCCGGACGCCGATAAACGCGCAAATAGTAAATAATATTACTATAGTGATTACAATTAAATAGTCGAGTGATGATTAAATATAATACAAACAATACGAGTCGCGTAGAATACGCCTCGATCAACCTGAAACCGGCACGAAACTGACCGCAAACTGCGCAAGCAACGACGCGACAGTTAAGATAAGAAATCAAGAGGTGCGTGAAGCCGGCGCGTCGATGGCACCTTGAGCGCGAATTGCATTTGGCACGAAACCTGCAATCAAAACAAAAATATGATGCAGCAAGATGAGGCGTGAGGGGATGGCTTCGACGACACAAGGCAATGCGATAAGAAAGTGTGAATTGTGTTCAAAATAAACACAATTCTCGTGCCGAATTCTCACGCTTGCCGATAAAAAAGAAATAAACAATACAAGTTTATTTTACAATTTTTAGGTCATGCTATTTCTATCTATAAATGATACAGTAGTTTCGATATTTACATTAGTTAAAGTAATAAAAAATTAAAATTCGATTTGAGTAATTCTGATTTCTTATGCTGACAGATTGCCAAATTTTACATTAAATAATTAAGTGATATTTAATTTGAAAATGCATCGTTTCTTGTTTACCAGGTAACACATTAGTCCGTAATCATTTGCTGATAATAAAAATGTATTTGAATTAATATAAAATTGTTAGTTATATTCATGAAAGAATTGAAGAATATTTGCATAAATTTACGATGCTAATATAATAAACAGCAACGGTGTGTTTTGATTTCACAAAATAAAGATTCGATACCTGCAGGTAAACAAACTTATCTCTTGCGCGAAATCGCGAGATCGCACACGGACACGGTGTGCACTCACTACCACCAACAAGCAATATTTAATGCAAAGCCGTATATTGTAGCGCCATCTAACCGAGTATCTAGAGTTTATTACAAATACAACACTTACTTAGATTTGTATTCCAAAAAGAAAGAATAAAAGAGTTATTTGTCAGAAGTGGGATTCGAACCCACGCCCACAGAAGTGGACTGCGACCTGAACGCAGCGCCTTAGACCACTCGGCCATCCTGACGGTGTATATAAGAAAATTTATTAATAAAATTTTCAAATATTAATTAAATAAATATATTGTATCTTATTTTGAAAGAATATACGTACTAGAGATAGCAGTCCGGTGTCATCTGAAGTAATTAATCTAATCAGGATAAATTTTATTTTGATAAATTTGCACAATCAAATTGCGCAACAATTCCATCCGTTTAAACATTTAAATGCTTTCTTTTGTACTGAATCAATATCCGACCTAAATTGCTAGTAAACACGTGTTTGCGCCATGAGGTTGCCACTTGCATATAATTAATTAATAGAATAGCCGACAATGAATATGCACGCGACAATTTCGGGTGTTTGACCTTTAAAAAGTTTGCGCCGTCATGGCGCGCGCCACCGCCATCACAAACTGTGTCACAGCGTACTATTGTTTTACAAGCGCGCGCGGAATCATTCTAACACACGATAAGCATCGCGAAAAGCACTGGAAACAAAAGAACAATAAAGGAAAACACAATCGAAATACATATTAATATTAACCGACGCATTGCCGGCGTCTCTCATTTGCGTGTCGAACGCGAGAGCAATCGGTCACGAAAGTGACCTACGAAAATCCAAGATGGCGCTGCTTCTTACAACTTTGTACCGGATGTACGACTATACCATGACTGAGCTTCCAGGTAATCAGTTAAAAACTCAAAAAAAAAACATAAAAAATAAGATTTACATTGTTTCAGATCCAAGAGTGCAACATTTGTTATTTTTAAACAACGTATGTTGGCCACTAGGCATAATTGGAGGTTATGTGTACTTTGCGTTGTACTGGGGACCAAAATGGATGAAAAATAAGAAAGCATTTCCGATTGAACGACTCATGGATTTGTATAATGCTATACAAGTTGTCTACTGTGTTTATATCGTCGTTTTTGTAACAAAAAACTTGGTTTTCTTTTATTTACATTTTAGTAAATTTATTTATGTTGCAGGGAGGCAGACTTGTATATAATTATGACTGGCGATGTGCGCCTGTGGATTATTCCATGAACCCCGAAGCAGTTGAAGTTGCCTATCTCACGTGGAGCTATTTCATTATAAAAATCGTTGATTTAATTGATACTGTACGTTTAAACACACTTTTAACCTCAATGTACATCATATATATTTTTAGGTGTTTTTCATTATGAGAAAAAAAGAACAACATGTTTCTTTTCTACACGTGTATCATCACGGTGGCATGGTTGCCATTTCATGGACAGCCGCAAAGTTTCTACCCGGCGGCCATGTTGTCTACGTCGGAATCATCAATTGCTTCGTGCACGCTGTTATGTACAGCTATTATTTAGTTTCCACCCATTACAAATCAAATCTCTGGTTTAAAAAGCACATCACACAATTACAACTAGTAATTATTAATTTTAATACCGTTAGATATACATAACCTAATTTTTAATCTTTTTAGGCACAATTTGCAACATTCACTTTACTTTATGGTCAGTTATTCTTTAGAAAGAACTGCGATTTTCCATGGTTTACACAATGCGTGTTTATCCCGCAGAATATTTTCATGACTGTATTATTTGCTGATTTTTACTACAAAACTTATATCAAGAAGAAAAAGATTATTCCGAATGGCAACACTAATGGTTTACCACACAGTGAAATGTCTGCTAAAGAGATAAAATCATCTTAGCATGAGTTTATAATTAAGTTATTAAATTTATTGTAAAATATTGTATGAAATGAAAAATATTAATTTTTTTACTTAGTACAGTCCCAAATAATCACAGATTTTTGCATGTCATTCAAAAATTTAATGTGTTTACTTATCTGTCAAGGGCGTTAATTGTATTTTGAGTGGATCTTTAACTCCATACAGTAATTCAGCACCGAATGTCATCGGTGCGTGATTCCAACTGATGTCGAATTTTTTCACCATCTAAAAATAATACAATTAACTTACTTCTTCAAATACCATGATGATAATTGGGTTGCCTACCTTAGCAATAAAAACCTCTATCTCCAGATTAGCCAACCGTTTTCCGATACAACTGCGTGGTCCAAAACCAAACGGCATACTAACAAACGGATTAGTCGATTTTAATTCAGATGCAGGATCACCACGCATCCATCTTTCAGGTTTAAACTGGTGTGCGTTCTTGTAATGCTGCTCACTGAGCGAGAGATACAAGTGCGGCACTATTACGGCTTTCTGTTGCATGTAAATTAATAAACACGTTTTTTTTTTTTTTTTTTTAAATAAAACTTGTTTACTTACACCTTCAGGAATGTTGTACCCGCCGAGCGTTACATCCTTGGTCATCACACGTAGATTGGCCGATGTAACAGGTGCAATCCGCATGGTTTCTTTAACAACAGCGCGTAAATACTGCAGTTGTTCAAGGCTTTCCTTCGTGACAAAGTCCGAAGAACCCGGAAGAGCCTTGGTTACTTCTTCGCGTAGCTTGTGTTGTACGTCTTTGTTTGCAGCGAGGAAATACAAGATGGCGGCTGATACTTTTCCAGTCTAAAGATTTAAAATAAAATCATTAATATTTTTATGAATATTGAAAGAATAAAAGACTTACTGTATCAATTCCAGCCGCCAACATGTCCAAAGTCATCACAACTGATAAAATTTTACCTTTTGTGCGTAATTTTTCAAATGCACTTTTATCTGTTTCACTTTTAAGTGCATAATTTGGATCGTTTTCAACTTTACGAGTGGCTTCTTCAATTAATTCCAATACTTTACTATTTTTTAAATAAAAGCAATAAATTATTCAATTTATTTTGTTATTATGTTCTTACTTAGTGAAAAAATCCTGATATTTAACAAACCGCTGCCATATTGGTAGATTAAACTTTCTACAAAATGGCGCTAGCGGCGAGTAATCCAACGTGTGCGTCATTCGAAAAATATCCAACATGTACATCGCCATATTGTGTGATTCCTCCGTTGGATTCCTATCTATACATCCTAATCGTGTATCCAATGCAATAATACCAATCGATTCCAAAGCCCATTTGTGAATTTCATCCAAGTAATCCGTTGGCATTTCACGCACGGGACTTGCATGCATGAACTCTGTTGTGCGCTCGATAAAATCATCAGCGACATCGTTGATTGAGGTTATGTACTGCTGAGCTGTTCGCGGTTGCATTAAAATTGGATTCACTTTTGATCGAAAATCAGCCCAAGGTTCATCGTTACTAGATACATATAAACAACATAGATAACGTTTTTTTAAATTCTCCGACATGAAAACAAAACATAAAAGTTCAATTTGTTATTATCTTGTTTTTGATTGGCAATTTATATAACTGCAATAGAATTATGATTAAACATTATAAAATAACAAACCTCTTCAACTTTTATTTTATTTCCTTGTTTTTGTTTAATTTATTTATTGATTTTTTTTTGTTTACCTAGTGAGGAGCCCTTCAATGTCACCGAAAACTTCCTTTCGCATCACATTCCTGTAATACCCAATTGAATGAAAACCTTGTCTGCGCGGCCAGGATCCTTCATTCCTAAACATCATCTCGATATCTTTGACGTCAAAAATCATCACTGCATCGCCAACTCCTACTAAATTTCTTAAAGCACAGACATCTCCATAAGTCTTATGCATGCTGCAACCCAACATACATATAAATATAAATAAATTATATCCCTACTAATATTATAAATGCGAAAGTCCTGATGTTTGTTACACTTTCACGCAAAAACTACTTATCCGATCATCATGAAAATTTGTACACATATTCTTAGTGGTCCCCGAATGGTTACAGGCTACTTTTTATTTAATAAAAAATTATTGTTAAAATAAAATAAAGAAATAGTTTATCCAATAATACCTCTGCATCTGGCTATTTGACTACTTTAACGCCATCTAACATTCCAGCAATGAAGCTCAAACCTAAGTACTATAGTACCATCACACTGTATTATCACACTGTATTACCGACAGCTACGTCAACATCAAATCCAATTGACTACACTATGGAGACTGTACACTATACTTCCATAGACTATACTTTCAGCCATTTTAAACTTCCCGCCATTCTACTTCATTGTTACTTCTTCTGTGACTACAGACGCGCACGGAAGCAACTTCATTATTTTAGATATTCGCGGGCGAAGCCAAGGGTTAAAACTAGTTACTAGATAAATAATGAACAATTTATACATTAATTTGTTTTGAGGTTAGAGATTAGAGGTTAGAATTAAAAATTGACATTTTAAAACGTTTTGAGCAATTTTTCATCAATTTTGTAGGTTATGTACAGTGTATGATGGGTTGCCTATACGGGGAAAAGATAAAACAATGAACAATGACTGAGTACACCTACACATAACCTCAATCTAGATATTCGCGAACAAAGCCGCGGGTTAAAGCTAGTTTATTTAATAATATTATGTGTGTCAACTTACTATGCACCCAATTCCACCTGATCCTGATATTTTACAGCTAACCATGTTGATCCAATCACAGGAAACGACGTCGGTCCAGGAATGTCATTAAAAGCTTTGATTTGCGTTTGATTTTTAGTCTCAGCGATGGCAACTGTGGCTTTCGTGCGTGTTGCAACTAAACGCACCGTGCGATGCAAGCCGAGAAGCGACATCGTGCCAACTGAATCTCAACTCAAGGCAAACTCAATAATATTCAACTTCCTGGTGTACAAGTGCAGCAGTAGTCACAATTTGTACGAGTAAGTAGGAGTGGAAATAGCGAACAGGTTCGATTACGCACGATAGGAACAAGGTCAATGCTAATCTATGTTAGGCAACCTTTTATTCTAAACAGGTGAAAATAAAAATTAAAACTGAAATAAAAATAGTTAAAAATCGAAAATTCTGACTTAAATAGAAAAATTATTTAATTTCTGTAGATCCAGGTGGATAACTCAACCCATCCAACTTATCAATACTATTCAACAAATCCGGGCGTGTAATCAATGCGCGTTTGATCGACTGCGTCAACAAATTCTCTTGAAAATACGCCGCAAACGGCATATCCTCCAATGAAAACACATGCACATTCCCATCAATATCCGCAACCAATAGACACCTCCCATCATGCGTAAACTGAATCAACGTATTTCGTGATTTGGTTGGTGACATTGTTGCACTCTGCGAATCATACGTCTTGCGTTGCAGATCCCAGATGAATATTTCATTACCCGAAATACTCGCGATGATAGTCGAATGTGACGGACTCCAAGCCACGCCCTGTACACCCAGCCATCTTTTTTTGATCTCAAACAAAGGCTCGGCGATTCCATCCGCCCATAAACGAATCGCCCAATCATCACCGCAGGTCAGGAATAATTTATTACAAAAAGGAGAAAACTCCATTGAATACATAGGACCATCATGTGCGAGAAAAAGCTCAAGATGTTGATGGAAGTAATTTTTTGAGCATTTATGCACGTTACCTTCACTAGTGCAAATGTAGTATATTCTGGGATCTATCGGATGACTTGTGTAGACCAATGCGGGGGATACTCTTGAATGTGAGACTTTTTTCGATGTGCATTTACGCAGGGTTTCGATTCCTTTGAGTTTACCTTCAGCGGATGTAATACGCATCATATGATGACTACTCATGAGGATACTCTGTCGACTGAGGCGGAGCTTAGCAATGCGGCCATTTTGACATGTGGCAACGAGGAATTCTTGACCTTCAAAAACAACAGAGGTCAATTTAAATTTAAATTAATTCATGTAGGTAAATTAAACTTACCTCTGTAGTAATCAACATCTGTATACCAATTGAGTTGCCATATTGGTTCGTAAAGCTGACTACTAGCTTTACAATTCACTCCAATGATACTAACCTCTCGTCGACTGACATCTATGACCTTGACAGTACCATCGTAAAAACCAATCGCTAACATATTGTGATACTGATTGCTAAAGTTCAAAGATGTCACTGGTGTACTGAAGTGATACTGTCGTTCAGGCTGTACAGGATTTTTTATATTCCAAAGAAGAACTAATCCTGTCACATCTTCATCATAGTAGAAACGACCATATCCAACTGCGATTATATCATGATTCACTTTGTTTATGCACATAGCTGACACACAACGATCTAAAAACATTTTAAAATTAATTTCTAATAAAAAAGATAAAATTTTAGGTTATGTTACCTTTTGTATCACCATTGGCAAACGTCCATAAAAAATTTAACCTATAATTGTATTCAATTCCCTCGCGAAAAGGACTTGGATCACTCAATCCACGAAATCTCTTCTGTTGCTCATTAAACACATTATTAGCGAGGATTCTCTGCATGATACAAACCGAATCCATGTATCTTTCATTCTTTGACAGTTTAATCATTTCAATATCGTCTTTGGTTAATGCGGTGTCTTTCTCGATAGATGTCAGGCTGAGACTTGTATTCGCCGGTACATAATCATTGTAATATGTATCATACAACTCCCATAATGATACGAATGAATGATCATTGTTGCTTTTCACACGCGGCGCTTCTGTAAACTTGGTTTTATTCAACACAGACACCGTTTGGATGATTGCATTGACCATTTTTCGATTTTTTCCGCGTCCTTCAGTAAGATATTCGTATGTTTTGTTGTCTTCTTCGGCCAATTCACCTTCCGGAGTGTCTTTCTCCACTGTGGACGATGGTAAATCCAATAAAATCTCAGTTTCTGTTTCTTGGATGACCAGAGAGACGAATTCCGGCATTGGGACACGCGGTGATTCAAATTCTTTTATTTCCGCAGGGAATTGCATATCGTCTATGTTTGGTGATGTAGTGCTGGTTGCATCCACGTATCCAGTGATGACTTCAGAGGCGGTCTCTTGCAGGGTGCTCACGCCTCCGAAAGTAATAAAAGCAGATGTTGTTCTGCCTACATGAGTGTAGGATGAATTGGCGAAGACTTTACTGGCTTGGATCATGGTTCGGTTGAGTGTTGCGATTGTTCCGGAGAATTGCACGTCGGACTCTGCGATTTTGCGTTCTTTGGCTGCTTTGAAGCAGGCGGTGGGTATTGTACGCGGTGTGACATTTTCGCCGTTGAAGTAAACTTGGACACGATTTACACGACGTGAGAGACGGAATTGTGTTCCGGATTTACGCAGGGCTTTCTTTTGTGGTGCAGGGGGGAATTTTTCTGGCGATCGTGATGACATTTTGTATGAAGTAAAGGAAGTAAAGGGAAATGAAATTGTTTTTGGTGCGTAACCAGTGTAAACAGAGTTGTAGTAGGCGTAGATTGTTATAGTAACCATGTTTGGTCAATAATGAAGGGCCTAGTACTTTAGTAACGAGTTTTATCAACGGTTTTGAGTAAAAATGTCAAATTTATGCTAAAAATGATAAAACGCTCAATTTTTTCTTGTTTTTCAAGTTTTTTCAGGAGATTTCTACGTTTTTAGGCAACCAATGCACCAAATAAAGATTTAAATCCATATTTTGATTTATTTAAAACTTATACGTGAATAAACATTAATAAAATTTAAATAAACTTTAAAAATTTACTTTGAACAACTGCCACCGGCGGAGCATTAATTTAGAGGTCAAGTTGCATGTCAACTCTGTCATAATTCTAGGTTAGATTAAAATTCATCAACCTGCAAACTTCTACAAGTTGTACCAATTGAGTGTTGAGTATGATAAAAACACTATGTTCTAAGTTATCACAACCCATTCAATTGCTCAGATACACTTAAACCACGATTACTCCGGAACGCAAACATACATATCACCATGATAGTTCGCGACGCTGCATGAATAATGCTCGGCGATCAGCGAGAAGCGCAAATATTGAGCGTCGTGCAAGAGAAATTCAACGATTCCCAAATTGTGCGCAATGTATCCTTTTAATTGACTTAATTCGGGGCGTTAATTAAGCACATAGTGTTGGCGTCCCCGCATGATGAGCAGGAACATGTGTAGATGACATCTGAGGTAGTTTGCCTTAACTAAAAATAGATTTTACTGAATGTGCAGCCAGTGAGAGAGGATCTGCTGGCTGACCACCGGCTACTTGCTTTAGTTGACAACCAGCAGAGTTATGGTCTCTTTGTGCTGATATCCGAGCATCTTGTGCCCCAAGAGTTCACTGATCTTACCATTGAGAGGGCTATTCCTATAGATGATAACTTTTTCTGTGGTAAGAATAGCATTGTAAATAAATATTCAAATATTTGTTTATGTTGTTTTAGATACAGACAGCATTCCGAGTGAGCAGAGTCACATTATCTATAATTTAAAGTACAAGACACAGTTGTTGAGTTATAAGGTGGAGATTGGTTTTGCCAGTGCTGAGTTTGCCACAGAGGTTATAAAAGCAAAAGAATGTAAGTTTTATTAATATGATTAGGTGTGAATTTGATGTGTGGTTTGTTTAGACTTTTCATTGAATCCTTTGGATCACAGTTGGCTTGGATATTATTCTTCTAGCAAACTGAGTGGAAACTTCAACATGGAAGATGAAGTATGTTGTATATTTTTTTATTAATCTTTAATTGTGTGGGGCTAAAGTCAAAATTCATGTTTAACGGGTTGCCTATGTTTCGCGATTTATTTTTAATCAAAACTTGCAGATTTCTGCAATTTTTTTGGAATAAAATTGTTTTTTATTGTTTAGATGTCAAGTGACATTTCAGTGTCACGACAGAAGATGACACAGGGTGGTGGAATTAGTACGAACAGGGAATCCCTGCTTAAGTATGAACTGGACCAGAAGAAACCCGAATATACTCATCAGGAACGATTTAGGTAACTTTACAGCTACTTAGAATTACTATTTTTGTATATCAAATTTAATTATTTAGCATATTTGTGGGTACGTGGAATGTAAACGGCAAACCGCCGCCGACGGATCCAAAAATTCTTCGTGAATGGCTCGAGAATGAGCCGGACCCACCCGATGTGTATGCAATTGGCTTCCAAGAATTGGATTTAAGTAAAGAGGCGTTTATTTTTAATGAAACCGTGCGGGAAGCCGAATGGCAGTAAGTTCAAAACGCTTTTTGATGTTTTTGTGTATGTTTTTCATAAATTAAATAAAAATATTTAATTTCCAGGAGAGCACTTGACATGTCAACACATTCTGGGGCAAAATACCGTCTAGTAGGATTAGTCCGCTTGGTTGGCATTCAATTGGCGGTGATGATTAATTATAGGCACTTTGAATACGTTACCAACGTGTGTATCGATACAGCGGGCACGGGGATTTTAGGTAAAATGGGGAATAAAGGCGGAGTTGCAGTCAGCTTTCAGCTTCATGACACCAATCTTTGTTTCGTGAACTGCCATCTTGCGGCGCATGCGGAAGAAGTTGAGCGGCGGAATCAAGATTACATGGAGATTAGCAATCGGATATCGTTCAGGAGAAATAATTCTGCTATTAATCTTAATATTAAAGATCATGAGTAAGTATATTATAGGTTATATCAAGCATTTTATTATAATAAGTTTTTATGATAATTGAACCTCCAAATACAAAGGTGTATTTTGGGTCACATAACTTTTTTGTTTTAAATATGAATTTTTTAACTTCTATTATTGATATTATTTTAAAGAAGAAATTAAATCACTTATATTAGTTTACTTATCTTTTATATATTTTTACAGTCAAATATATTGGATGGGCGACTTTAATTACCGACTGAAAGACATCAACGCGATAAAAGTCAAGCAACTTATCCAACATGGCGACTTGCAATCACTTCTCGCACGCGACCAGCTCCATGAACAAAAACTCAACAGTCGAATCCTTCACGGTTACAATGAAGGCGACATCACTTTCCACCCAACATACAAATACGATGTCGGCACTGACTGTTACGATTCCAGTGAAAAAGCACGCGTACCTTCATGGACAGATCGCATATTCAGCAAAGGCAAAGGAATCCACCAGCTTTCATACATGTGTCACATGGGGTTGAAAATCAGCGACCACAAGCCAGTCTACGCTAAATTCAGCTCGGAAATCAGCATTATAAACAAAGACAAGTATCGCAAAGTACATGAAGATGTCCTGAAAGGTTTGGATAAACTCGAGAATGAGTACCTGCCGCAGGTGACCATTGATACCACTGAGGTACACTTTGAAAAAGTAAAGTTTCACGAACCGCAATCAGAGTATATTACTATTGCAAACACAGGAGTGGTGCCTGTACAGTTTATATTTATTGGTAAGCATGGAAATTTACCGCATTGTAAAAGCTGGCTGCGGATACTGCCATCTAGCGGTAATATTATACCAGGGGAAAAGTGTGATATTCAGTTGGAGGTGCAGCTGGATGATTGCGCAACGCGTCTGGATGATATTTTGATCTTACATTTAGAAAACGGCAAGGATTTATTTATCAGCGTGTCGGCGGATTGCATACGCACGTCGTTCATGATGTCAATTTCAGCGTTGTGCAAGTGTCCAGTTCCAATATTGCAATTAACGCCTGAACAATTAAAAAACGCTGTGAGTATACGCATAGAAATCATGGTAAACATCTTAAAATTATATTTTTTTTATGTTTTGTAGACATTGGATCAATCATCGGTGCTTTATCAAATCCCACGTGAATTGTGGAACCTTGTGGATTATTTATACAGAAACGGGTTGAAAACTAGAGAGTTATTTGAAGGTTCTGCACTGCGCGAGGAAATCTACAACGTGAGGGATTGGTTGGATAACGGATCGCTTGATCCAATGCGTATCCTTTTGAAATACATTTGATTTAAAGATTTAAAGTGAATTTTGTTGTTTTTTCTTAATGTTTTTGACAGCTGGCAGCGTGCACGCAGTCGCAGATTGTCTGCTCTTGTTTTTATCTTTTACAAAAGATCCGATAGTGCCCTATCATCTTCAGAACAAGTGTGCTGATGTTAGTGAATATTTCATTTCATGCAAAGAGGTAAGTTGTAATAACAAAAACATTTTCAGCGTTATTTTTTAACTTATTACTTCGTTTGAATTCGTGCGTGTTCGGTGCAGCAGCAAACACGCGCCTGCGCAGTTTCGTTAAAGTTGTTAGTCATAATTTTTTTGCTGATGTAAATTTTATTGAATTCATATTGAAATATTGTATTTATTTGTTTTGCAGGTTATCGAAATGTTCCCAACGTTGCATAGAAACACATTCCTCTACATCTGCATGTTCCTGCAGGAATTGATTAAGTATCGCGCCGATAATGGCGTCGAACGTCATGGATTGGCAGTGATGTTCGCTGACATATTAATGCGCGCGCCTGATAAAAGCACGCCGCCGCAGGTGTGCCGCAAGAAGATCAAGTTTATAGAGCAATTCCTCAGCAACGATCTTACGCCGCTTGTATCTACCAAGTAGGTACCTAGGTATATCCCGGTGCAACGAATTTAGGACGCAACTAAACACGCTCCTAAAAACTAACCAAACTATTCATTAACCAAAAAAAAATCGTAATTTGCCTAAAAATGTCCTATATGATAAGAGTATTATTTATTTCTTTATTTGTCATTGTGGCCGAGACGAAGGGAGACTTAAGCAAGCCTTGTAACAGTATTTTGGTAAAGAAATTGATTTCTAAGTTTAATTTTAGTATAAAAAGTTAGGTTAATTGATCAAATCATCAAATATAATATATTTCTCACGTAGTTTGGTGTACATATAATGTTTTTACAACATTCCATCGTTTTTATTTGAATAAGTCACCGAGTTATAAGGTTTTCAATATTAAACCTCGCAGTATAGTTGTTGAAAGTAATTGTAGATGGCGTACTAGTTGAAAATTTGAATTATTGATTACTGCGCATGCGCCGCATGATCACTACAGTCGAGTAACTTAAGTGTCAGTAATTTTGTTTTGATTTACCAAACCTATAAACTAAAAGATGTTTTGTGCTATGTAACAACAATTAGAAACAAATTGGAATGTGATTCATCACACTTAAGTAACTATTCAATTCATTTATTTGTACATTAAAACAAATCTGGAATTGAGAGACTAGACTTCTTTCAAACATCACAGTTGGATAACTTTTTCATAACCAGCTTTAAAAAAATCCCAGAACATTAATGTGAGCACTGAATGCGGCCCCAGCCGGAAGTACATGGGGCCGATTCCCTTAAAGAATGCCAAAGCGCCCTCTTGTTTATACACCTTGATAACACAATCAAAATATCCATTGTACAGTATACCTTTACCATCTTTACCAAGACCTGTAGATGTTATATTCATTTGAATAATTTGAAAAAGGTTTGGTTTCAGATTTTAATTACCTTGGTTGTAGAGACGAATCAAGACCAAATCAAACGGAGTCGTCAACACGCTAATGGCAATTCCACCAATAAAGCTAGCTACAAATGAGGTGAGTATCTTTTTCTTTTGGAAATATTCAATCTCATTCAGCCATTGTTTGGTGTAAGAGAATGAAACAAGTTGCGAGGATGACGCGATGAATGCACGTGGAAATATTGCTATGCCACCCCGCCATAATCCTTTTATCTATAAAAGTAGAAAATGGTGGCCAAAACACTTAATATCTTTAATGAAAGCACTTACACCGTATAAATTCAAAATTTCGCGCAAAGCTTGCACCATACTCTGCTCCTTGTGCTGGAAACCCACCGCGATGGACTTAGCAGCCATCGACTGCTTGTGCGTGCGCACCAAGTGCATCGGATTCGAACAATAATGCCCGAAAACTCCCGAAAGTCCAGCGGCTAATACTGAACGCTCAAATCGAATATTTCCATGCTTATCACGGATTAAATTATGACTATCTGCTAACTGGTAACCACCTGAAAACACAATCAAGTAATAACCATATTACAATGAAGTAATAAAGTAATATACCCAATCTAGAACAATTCATAATAAACTGCACCCATAATGCTGGAACAAGTCCAGCCTGAAGTGCCACCACGCCATCATGCTTCACAATTTGCACAGCAGCGTGCAGGATGTTTTTATAATGCACAACATGCGTGCCCCTCTTTTGGAGTTCACCCTGCAATTGCATGCGCGTTTTTATCACCTCCAATGGGTTGGTGAAGAAGCCAGCAGATACTGCTGCGCAGCCAGCTATCAGGAACTCCATTTTAAATAGTTTCACAGTCCGATTATTGTGGTTCTACATGTTGTTATTCAATGGTTTCATTTTTGGCTGCATCTTGCACTCGCGCATTGCAAAATTCAAAGTTTCAACTTGGTTTTCAACTTGGATATCATATAAAGTGAGGTTATATGAAACTTAAAACTTCACATCACGTTTGATTTAGGTACATATCTACAAAATCACATTATATAAACTTAATAATTTGAAAATTGAATGGATTATATCTGGAGTAATGAAATAAGCTTTCTTACTTTCTTAATTGCATTGAATTCTACATCTTGCGAAGTTCAAAAATACATAATTTGATTTTACAATCAAAATGTAACTTTAAAAGTTCAATTTGCAAATATTTAAGCTGCAAAAAATCTCTGTCAGTCGCCATCTTGCAACATAATATAATTATATATAATTAATACCTTCCTGAACATGCGTTTACCATAAGTAAACATTAATTACTTTATTGAATCTTCACATGTTGTCTTTATCTGTAAGTAATTAAAAAAAACTTTGCTGAAACTGTTTTTTAACTTTAAATATTTTAAATAAAACTCATGTAATGCAAATATTGGTGACAACACAAGTAGAATATTAATGACAATGTGCTGTTTGTGCTCTAGTTAAGCCGTAATCATTATTTTTTATATCTTGCTTATAATTGTTTTTCTGCTTCCAGGGCATCGATCATCCTCTTATCATACTAAATATTATACCGTATAAATAAAACAAGATGACGTCCACCAGAAGTAACGTCGGTGAGATCGCTGGCGACGTGGAAATTCGCAAACTAAAATCATTATCCCCCAGTCACTACGCCAAACTAGTTCAGTATCTGGATGAAAATGATTCATGGCGGATCCTCATGTCATTCGTACCCAAAGTTCTACCAAACAGTGACAGTGACAGTCTTCAACGAGAAGCAAAAGAAAAATGGGAGAAGTTGTACAACTCGACGCATATTAAGTAAGTTTTATTTAAATTAACCTAACCTAGTTTGATATCTATTTGATTTGTTGTTTAGACTCATCGAAAACGCTAGCAAAAAAGATCCGCGTTCAGCTGCGGAAATCTTTCTCTTCGAATGGTCGACCACCGGCCGTCGGCGGCCAACAGTGGTTCACCTCCTTGACCTGCTAAAAGCAGCCAACTTGTATCGCGCTGCTGATTACATTGCAATTAATGTACTGCAACAGAGGGCGGTTGAACGCCCCACGACTGGACCAGCTGCAAAAATTAGTATTTCCGAACTTGATGCTGAATTGGACGCAGAGGATGAAAATGTAAACCCACAGGTATCAAATGTGACAATTGAGAATAACTTGGATAACAGCAAACCGGAAAACACGTTGCGTAGAGCCGACGCTCCGAAATTATTGGTTCCTTTCAAGCGGGAAGGTGCTACAGGTGGTAATACTGAGAATAAAAGGAGCACTGCTCGGATTGGTCAGGAAAATATACCGGAAGTGCAGATTACTGAAGCGACATCTTCAATGAAAGTTGGGAATATTGTTTTACAGTCTCCACCAGCATCTGAGCCAATTGTTAGCGATATGATGAAGTTTAGTCAGAGTTTATCTATATCACAAGATAGTGAAACTCAATCTAACTATTCTGATAGTTCAGAGTCTGTGAATACTTCATCGGTTGCTTGTATACAAGATGTCACTTCAACAAATGTGATTTCCGGGGATAATCGACCAAATTTCAGTCAGTTACTAAGCTTAAACTCACAGAATAATATAGAATCATCTGATATTGTTAGTGGTACTGCTAGTGTTAGTAGTTTTACTGAATCAAGTGCAATTCGACCGAATTTGAGCGTTTTATTAGATGCTGTTGAGACAAGAACTTACACTGAGAGTACACAGTCAGAAAATGGTGAAAATCGGCCAGATTTAAGTGGATTACTTGCTAGCACTAATTTAAGTGTTACTTTGATTTCTGATGAGTCAAAATCATCAAATTTATTGTCACAAAGTGGTTCTATCAAGAGTGAACAATTGGCGGAGTCTGGACCGGCATTTTCTATGTTGCTTGATAATAATAACGCACAGATGGCGCCAGGGAAACCTGTAAATGAAAGTTTCGATGATTCAAGCAGTTCCGATGATGAGTAACTGTCACTCGGTCACGTCCTGTAACTTTGGTAGGAATTAAATATACTTAAATCTAACTAAACATAAAATATATAAAAGTAATAATAACACAAGAGTTTGACATAATCATTTGGATATCTCAACACTCCGTTTGTATTTTATTTTAGAATACGTTTACATTAATCTACAATATTTGTAACTCAGTTAACTTTAACAACCACTTTACCAGTACACTTTTTGCTCTTGATGAACTCTACGGCTTTGTTCACTTCTTTAAAGTCAAACTTTTCGCTAATGTGCGCTGTGAACATTCCCTGCTCGGCCATTTCAAGCGTATCCTGCACTATTTGACGATATTCTGGTAGGTTTTGTTGGCGTAGCCTATTTAAACTAATCCGCATCAAGGAAGAGTGCGGCGGTGGTGGCGACACCTTTCCAGGAGACAAGGTAAATATTTTACCATTCTGATCAACACTGCAAATACGAAATGTTTTATTATTCAGAATCGCGATGTAACAAGAGAGAAAATTAAGTTTTTGGCTTTACCATGATGTTACTACGTCGTGAACTTCACCGCCAACTGCATCAAAGATGACATCAGCCCTTTTATTGCCAAATGCACTAATAACGTGCTTTTCAATGTTATCCTTATAGTGTAAAGTTGTGAAAGCTCCTTTTTCACGTGTAAGTTCCGAATTTTTCTCAGTGTCTGTCACAGCAACAACCTAAAAGTGCAAAAAGTGTTTTAATATGAGAATTAACAAGCAGATTTGATTTACTTTTGCTTTATAAATATTTGCAGCAACATCAACAGCGGCCAGTCCAGAACCAGCAGGCCCCACAGCAACTACAACATTACTACACTCTTTAATAGGTGCCTTTACTCCAAATGTATACAATGCAGCAGCATAGCTGTAAGGTAATACTGCAGCCTCTTTCAGCTGGATGGAAGCAGGTGTTGTCCAAACATCTTCATAATCCACCTTAAATCAGCAGTAAGTAATCATTTTTATTTATTTTGTTTGATTATACTTACTACACATTCAGTTGCAAGTCCACCACAGTGATCAAAACTAAATGCAATAACTCTATCTTCTTTGTTAAATAGTTTTGCTGCTTCCTTGCCAGTCTCAATGATTTCACCACTGAACTCATAACCAGGAACAAATGGAAACTTTCGAGTCGTGTCGCTGAATGAAGTCACATCGTAGATGTTAACGCTGCAATATGCAACAGCTATGCGTACTTGAGAGTCTTTCAGTTTGGGTTGCTTCTTCTCTTCAAAAGTTAGTTCAGTGGCATCTTTTGATTTGAACACTGCTGCTTGATAATTGTTGCTTGCCAGGCGCACTGACGTGTGGTTGAATTTTGAAATTTTGCACACCTTGCGGAGATGCTTTACATGTGGAAGCAATGCTTTTGTTATTAATGTCGTCATTGTCTCCTACCCAACAGACTTATGAGTATCAATTATTTCGGCATAACCTCTAAGAAGGCTCACGGTTTCACAGGTTAATTAATCCTAGTAGTGGAAAGGAGTTTACGACTGGTCAACTAAAGCGGAAAACAAACTTAAAATCAAAGTAAGTGTTTTAAAATTATTTTCGTTCGAATAATAGTGTCGTATTCTTTTCTTAAGCTTATTTGTGTGATTTCGGTCAAAAGGCGCCTCAACCATCAAAAAGTTTAGTAGATTTATTGGTGATTATCTAAGAAACTAAAAGGGCTAAGCAAAAAGGACCCCATATTTTGGATTCCTGAAAAATTCTTTATAAGATGGCATCTTTATTGAAAAACGACAAAAATGGCACAAAAAAAATTTAAAGAAAAGATTTCGTTATAAAAAAGGCAAAAGATTTCTCTTTTTTATGTTGAAAATTAAAAGTTGGAATTTTTAAATTCTCTTTTTGGGTGCTGATATATAATTTAATTCTACATTGATTATTTTATTAACTTTTTGTGCCATCATCAACCTTTTAGGCCTTATTTACAAATTTAATTGAAAACAGCATTCGACATAAAAAAGCGAAATATTTTGCCTTATTTATGGATTTTGCACCTGAGTCTGACATCGTAGAAGGACCATTCTTGCATCAGATTGTAAGTATTTAATTTCTTTATCACTTTCCAAAATAACTTTTGTGATTATCTCACATATTAACCCTTAAAATTGCATTTTTATGTTCGAAGGCCTAATTTTTGCCTGTTTTAGGATTTTGCACCTGAGTCTGACATCGTAGAAGGACCATTCTTGCATCAGATTGTAAGTAATTAATTTCTTTATCATTTTCCTACATAACTTTTGTGATTATCTCACAAATTAACCCTTAAAATTGCATTTTTATGTTCGAAGGCCTAATTTTTGCCTGTTTTAGGATTTTGCACCTGAGTCTGACATCGTAGAAGGACCATTCTTGCATCAGATTGTAAGTAATTAATTTCTTTATCATTTTCCTACATAACTTTTGTGATTATCTCACAAATTAACCCTTAAAATTGCATTTTTATGTTCGAAGGCCTAATTTTTGCCTGTTTTAGGGATTTTGCACCTGAGTCTGACATCGTAGAAGGACCATTCTTGCATCAGATTGTAAGTAATTAATTTCTTTATCATTTTCCTACATAACTTTTGTGATTATCTCACAAATTAACCCTTAAAATTGCATTTTTATGTTCGAAGGCCTAATTTTTGCCTGTTTTAGGATTTTGCACCTGAGTCTGACATCGTAGAAGGACCATTCTTGCATCAGATTGTAAGTAATTAATTTCTTTATCATTTTCCTACATAACTTTTGTGATTATCTCACAAATTAACCCTTAAAATTGCATTTTTATGTTCGAAGGCCTAATTTTTGCCTGTTTTAGGATTTTGCACCTGAGTCTGACATCGTAGAAGGACCATTCTTGCATCAGATTGTAAGTAATTAATTTCTTTATCATTTTCCTACATAACTTTTGTGATTATCTCACAAATTAACCCTTAAAATTGCATTTTTATGTTCGAAGGCCTAATTTTTGCCTGTTTTAGGGATTTTGCACCTGAGTCTGACATCGTAGAAGGACCATTCTTGCATCAGATTGTAAGTAATTAATTTCTTTATCACTTTCCAAAATAACTTTTGTGATTATCTCACATATTAACCCTTAAAATTGCATTTTTATGTTCGAAGGCCTAATTTTTGCCTGTTTTAGGGATTTTGCACCTGAGTCTGACATCGTAGAAGGACCATTCTTGCATCAGATTGTAAGTAATTAATTTCTTTATCATTTTCCTACATAACTTTTGTGATTATCTCACAAATTAACCCTTAAAATTGCATTTTTATGTTCGAAGGCCTAATTTTTGCCTGTTTTAGGATTTTGCACCTGAGTCTGACATCGTAGAAGGACCATTCTTGCATCAGATTGTAAGTAATTAATTTCTTTATCATTTTCCTACATAACTTTTGTGATTATCTCACAAATTAACCCTTAAAATTGCATTTTTATGTTCGAAGGCCTAATTTTTGCCTGTTTTAGGATTTTGCACCTGAGTCTGACATCGTAGAAGGACCATTCTTGCATCAGATTGTAAGTAATTAATTTCTTTATCATTTTCCTACATAACTTTTGTGATTATCTCACAAATTAACCCTTAAAATTGCATTTTTATGTTCGAAGGCCTAATTTTTGCCTGTTTTAGGGATTTTGCACCTGAGTCTGACATCGTAGAAGGACCATTCTTGCATCAGATTGTAAGTAATTAATTTCTTTATCATTTTCCTACATAACTTTTGTGATTATCTCACAAATTAACCCTTAAAATTGCATTTTTATGTTCGAAGGCCTAATTTTTGCCTGTTTTAGGATTTTGCACCTGAGTCTGACATCGTAGAAGGACCATTCTTGCATCAGATTGTAAGTAATTAATTTCTTTATCATTTTCCTACATAACTTTTGTGATTATCTCACAAATTAACCCTTAAAATTGCATTTTTATGTTCGAAGGCCTAATTTTTGCCTGTTTTAGGGATTTTGCACCTGAGTCTGACATCGTAGAAGGACCATTCTTGCATCAGATTGTAAGTAATTAATTTCTTTATCATTTTCCTACATAACTTTTGTGATTATCTCACAAATTAACCCTTAAAATTGCATTTTTATGTTCGAAGGCCTAATTTTTGCCTGTTTTAGGATTTTGCACCTGAGTCTGACATCGTAGAAGGACCATTCTTGCATCAGATTGTAAGTAATTAATTTCTTTATCATTTTCCTACATAACTTTTGTGATTATCTCACAAATTAACCCTTAAAATTGCATTTTTATGTTCGAAGGCCTAATTTTTGCCTGTTTTAGGGATTTTGCACCTGAGTCTGACATTGTAGAAGGACCATTCTTGCATCAGATTGTAAGTAATTAATTTCTTTATCATTTTCCTACATAACTTTTGTGATTATCTCACAAATTAACCCTTAAAATTGCATTTTTATGTTCGAAGGCCTAATTTTTGCCTGTTTTAGGGATTTTGCACCTGAGTCTGACATCGTAGAAGGACCATTCTTGCATCAGATTGTAAGTAATTAATTTCTTTATCATTTTCCTACATAACTTTTGTGATTATCTCACAAATTAACCCTTAAAATTGCATTTTTATGTTCGAAGGCCTAATTTTTGCCTGTTTTAGGATTTTGCACCTGAGTCTGACATCGTAGAAGGACCATTCTTGCATCAGATTGTAAGTAATTAATTTCTTTATCATTTTCCTACATAACTTTTGTGATTATCTCACAAATTAACCCTTAAAATTGCATTTTTATGTTCGAAGGCCTAATTTTTGCCTGTTTTAGGATTTTGCACCTGAGTCTGACATCGTAGAAGGACCATTCTTGCATCAGATTGTAAGTAATTAATTTCTTTATCATTTTCCTACATAACTTTTGTGATTATCTCACAAATTAACCCTTAAAATTGCATTTTTATGTTCGAAGGCCTAATTTTTGCCTGTTTTAGGATTTTGCACCTGAGTCTGACATTGTAGAAGGACCATTCTTGCATCAGATTGTAAGTAATTAATTTCTTTATCATTTTCCTACATAACTTTTGTGATTATCTCACAAATTAACCCTTAAAATTGCATTTTTATGTTCGAAGGCCTAATTTTTGCCTGTTTTAGGATTTTGCACCTGAGTCTGACATCGTAGAAGGACCATTCTTGCATCAGATTGTAAGTAATTAATTTCTTTATCATTTTCCTACATAACTTTTGTGATTATCTCACAAATTAACCCTTAAAATTGCATTTTTATGTTCGAAGGTCTAATTTTTGCCTGTTTTAGGATTTTGCACCTGAGTCTGACATTGTAGAAGGACCATTCTTGCATCAGATTGTAAGTAATTAATTTCTTTATCATTTTCCTACATAACTTTTGTGATTATCTCACAAATTAACCCTTAAAATTGCATTTTTATGTTCGAAGGCCTAATTTTTGCTTGTTTTAGGGATTTTGCACCTGAGTCTGACATCGTAGGAGGACCATTCTTGCATCAGATTGTAAGTAATTAATTTCTTTATCACTTTTCAAAATAACTTTTGTGATTATCTCACAAATTAACCCTTAAAATTGCATTTTTATGTTCGAAGGCCTAATTTTTGCCTGTTTTAGGGATTTTGCACCTGAGTCTGACATCGTAGAAGGACCATTCTTGCATCAGATTGTAAGTAATTAATTTCTTTATCATTTTCCTACATAACTTTTGTGATTATCTCACAAATTAACCCTTAAAATAGCATTTTTATGTTCGAAGGCCTAATTTTTGCCTGTTTTAGGGATTTTGCACCTGGTGGCATCATTCTTGAAATCAGTTTTTAACAGATAATAATATTTGCCAGGACAAAATATCGGAGTACATTCAGTTAACAAAATTATGTATGGACCTGAACTATTTCCAAGTTGGCAATAAATATTATTCACAAATAGAAGGAACGGCAATGGGAAACCCCTTGTCACCTTTCATTGCGGATATTTTTATGAGCAATTTCGAAGAAGTTTTGGCCAATACATTAGATTATTTTCCAAAAATTTGGATCCGGTACGTAGATGACATTTTCGCGGTTTTCGATCTTTCAAAATGTTCAATTAATAGGTTTTTGGAAACTCTGAACACAAAATACGCGTCTATTAAATTTACATACGAATCTGAGTCAAATGGTCAACTTGCATTTTTGGACACACTGGTTATTAGAAATAACAATAGATTAGAATTTGACATTTACAGGAAAATAACCAATACTGATTGCTACATTCCATCGAGTTCTAACCACCCGTTTCAACACAAAATTGCGGCTTTTAATTTCCTTGTTCATCGTCTAATTTCATTCCCTTTAACACCTCAGAGATATAATAACGAGTTACAGTACATAAAGAACGTAGCAAAAAGTAATGGTTATGATCCAATAATTATTAATAGAATTATAAATAAATTTAAATTTAAAAAACTGCAACGTGATAACTCGACTTTAAACACGTTCACCGATCAATTAGATACAAAATACATTTCGCTTCCTTTTGACATTATTTTAACTAAAGGTTTAAATAAAATTTTGAAAAAAGAAAATTTAAAAATCGCGTATAAAAACACCAGTAACATTAAAGAATTACTAGGTAATCCGAAAGATAAAGAGGAAACGTTTTTAAAGTCGGGTATTTACAAAATTAAATGCGGATGTTGTGACTCACAATATATTGGTCAAACGAAAAGGTCAATTTTAACTCGTTTTAAAGAACACATCGCGCATTTTAAATACAATAGATTCGAAAAGTCCGCAGTAGCCCAACATATTAAAGAGTCAGAACATCCCATCCGACAAGAAAATTTGTTCTTGGTAAAATCTATTACCAATCAAAGACAATTAGATGCCTATGAAAGCATAGAAATTTTAAAACATAAGAACAAACATCTTCTTAATCAAGAAAACGGGCCAATTTCTTCAAGTTTATTTGAGTTAATTGTTTAATATTTTTCAAAAATACCTAGTTGTCGAATACTTGGAAATAGATTTTACTGCAATATTTTTGCTAGGGAGTGGGGGTAAAAGATTAATTAGGGTATTATGAATTTATAGGTTTTATTAGAAAAACATTTTTAGGGAGTGGAGGGTAAAGGATTAAACAGGGATTAAGAATTTTTAGGTAAATTAGGGATTAGACGCAATTTTAGTTCAGTTTTATAATTCCTTCGCCTGAAGAGGAAGGCTTAGCCTTCGAAATGCGCATCGCGACTTTAAAGTTATTTGTGAGACGGGGTTTTTTAAACTTCCTATTAGTATTAAATTATCTTAATCTGTCAATTATAAACTACAACAACCGAAAGTGTTGAGCTTCGGTCCGTCGCCACCAGAGGCAGCACCTTACTAGTTACCGCGAAAACTTTATCAGCCTCCTCAACTTTCTGCGATCCTAATATTCCATCTTTATTTTGTCGACTCTGGGAGGCAAAATCACACAAAATTTGGACTCGAAACAGTCGAAACTCAGGATTTGGTATGCGGATCGCAGAAAGGGTGAGGAGGTATGTCAATGAAAGAGGCGGTAACTAGTAATGGCGGGTAAAATTAATGTTTAAAAATCTTTATTCAGCAAATTCGGTTTTCAAATTCTGAAGGATCTCGACAACTAAGAGGGCTAGAAAATTAAGAACTACATAATATTGATCCTTGAAAAATTCCCTACAAGGTGGCATCATTATTAAAAAATTATCAAAATGACACAAAAAATTTTTAAAGAAAAGATTTTGTTATAAACAAGGCAAAAGATTTCTCTTTTTTATGATGAAAATTAAAAGTTGGAATTTTTGAATTCTGTTTTCGGATACTGATACATAATTTAATTCTACATCAATTAGTTTGGTATTTTTTTGCTAGCATTAACTGCTTAGGCCCTATTTGCAATTTTATAGAAAAAATTGAATATGTACCGAAACAAACTGAAATAATATATATAATAATTTGGCGGGAACTGCTATGTCCACTTTCTGCGTTCCTAATACTACAGACTGATGAGCAGCAACAAATTTTGTCGAGAAATCCATTGAAATTGGTGACAAAATTCTTTTGAATATTAGGATCGCAGAACGTTGAGGAGGCTAAATCTCCAGCAATCTTGAATAGCGGGCGTAGTTTAGTTACTCGTGGATAGATGACACTAGTGATACCGTTTTTAAATTAATATTGATACAATATAAAATTGATTTTGAACTATTTCTCATATCTAGCAGTGGCATTTCCATTAAAGTTTAAGGGTTTTATGGATTAATTAAAGGAGTAACGATGTTGCGAGCTATGTTCTCCGTTTGGAACAAATAAAACAATAAAAATTTATAGTTAAAAGTATAAAACAAAAATTTTATTAAAACATGTAGAATATACACCCATCAGTAACTCAATTTCTCAATATATACCTACATGTAATTATACAATGCTCTTTTTACAATTTTTAACATAATAAACAAAAATGATATCAATAACAGCTTCGAAATGTTGTAAATTCATTCAATCGAATTTGGAATCATCATCAACACCGGCAATCCAATCTTCAATTTCTTGGCCACTATAAACCTGAATGAATAAGAGAATAGTAAAATATAAAATATTATAAATTGCCAAAATATAACATACGTTCATGGAACTTAGTGTAGTCCAGTTGCAACATCCATTTTCAGTAATCAAAACATCATCCTCAATACGCACTCCACCTGAGCCATTCCAGTTGGTCCTTATTGATAAACTTGGCCATCTCAGAATTAGCCAATGCTTCATCTAACAACTGGAAAATATTTATGTAAATAAAGTATACTTATACACAAATTAAATTAATTATTCTTACAAGATCCATAAAGACTCCCAATTAGGGCACCGTACAAAGGTAGCGCCTGTACTGACTCCCATTCAAGGCACCGTACGAAGATGGTGGTAGTAGTAACTCCTGGAATCAAACCTATATTAGTCGTAATGATCAAATTTAAAGCTGCGTAATAAAACTACAATTTCTAGCGCAACGAGTACTACGGCGCAAAACACAACTTTCAATATAACTCGCGTTACGGAATTTTCCGGCAATAAATTTCTATACAGGGGAGTACAGAATTAAATTCCGCATCTAGGACAATTTATTCGAACTAATTACAAGACCGCGTTCGCGAGTTATAACAAAAAAACCACAATTTCTAGCGCAACGAGTACTACGGCGCAAAACACAACTTTCAATATAACTCGCGTTACGGAATTTTCCGGCAATAAATTTCTATACAGGGGAGTACAGAATTAAATTCCGCATCTAGGACAATTTATTCGAACTAATTACAAGACCGCGTTCGCGAGTTATAACAAAAAAACCACAATTTCTAGCGCAACGAGTACTACGGCGCAAAACACAACTTTCAATATAACTCGCGTTACGGAATTTTCTGGCAATAGATTTTTATACACGGGGGTAGAGAATTAAATTCCGCATCTAGAACTATTTATTCAAACTAATTACAACACCGCGTTCGCGAGTTATAACAAAATAACTACAATTTCTAGCGCAACGAGTGTTACGGCGCAACACACAACTTTCAAGATAACTCGCGTTACGGAATTTTCATGCAATAAATTTCTATACAGGGTGATACAGAATTAAATTCCGCATCTAGGAAAATTTATTAGAACTAATTTCAGCACCGCGTTCGCGAGTTATAACAAAATAACTACAATTTCTAACGCAACGAGTGTTACGGCGCAACGAGTGTTACGGCGCAACACACAACTATCAATATATCTCGGGTTACGGAATTTTCTTGCAATGAATTTCTATATACAGGGGTACAGAATTAAATTTGGCATCTAAAAAAATGCATTCGAACGAATTGTAGCACCGCATTCGCGTGTTATAACAAAAAAACTACAATTCCTAGCGCTATTAAACAAAAAGAGATAGCAAGCCACAAATAGCTGATTATGAAAGATTAGAAAATTCTCTATCAGCTAAAAATATAAAATAATTAAATTACTAACAGTAAACGGTCGAAAAACACGACTGAATGTCAGTGGCGGATTATGCTTCAGTGGGGCCCTAGGCGCAAATCAAGTTTGGGGCCCCTAAACCCGAAAACTTTCAAAAACGGTTATTAGCCCAGTAAAATTAATAGTTTTAACGTACGGGCGCCGCAAAGTCTACTTCAACATTCGTTTGTACCAAAAACTCATTTCCACACCACCATGAGGTAGAGTACGTGACGCGTTTTTTTTTATCGTGGTATCCCCAGCAGGCCTAATCCACACGCACTATTCCAAAATTTAATGGATTATCTTCCGATTCGCTCTTCGCGATGGACCAGGTGTTGTGCGTTAATTGTTTTCAGAACCGATCGATGGGATTATCGTTTTCAATGCTATCTTGGTTCTCGAGTTCATCGTACGTGTGCTCAAAAACGGTAATCGTATTTAAATACAAATTACAAATTTACTTTTCTTGCCTTCTCTTGGGCAAAGATTTCACATTCAGTGAATGTGCTAAAAAGTGACATTTTTCAATTTTTGCCCATTTTATTCAAACGCGAATATCTCGTAAACTAAAAGAGATAATTAAGATCTGATCGCAGCGTCTTAATCTACGGACTATACTCTATAAGATAGGATGGTTAAAACGGAAATCTGAGAGATGAAATTTTAAATCTTAAGAAAAAAATTGCCAAGGGGGGGTGCTTGATACTTTTTTTCGACGATTTTTGATAATTAATATCTCTTAAACTAAAAGCGATAGCAACCCACGAATTGCTGATTATGAAAGATTGCAAAATTCTCTATCAGATAAAAATATAAAATAATTATATTTCCAACAGTAAAAGGTCGAAAAACGCGACTAAAAGTGCTAAAAAGTGACATTTTGCAATTTTTGCCCATTTAATTCAATCGCGAATATCTCGTAAACTAAAAGAGATAATTAAGATCTGATCACAGCGTCTTAATCCACGGACTATACTCTATAAGATAGGATGGTTAAAACGGAAATCTGAGAGATGAAATTTTAAATCATAAGAAAAAAATTGCCAAGGGGGGGTGCTTGATACTTTTTTTCGACGATTTTTGATAATTAATATCTCTTAAACTAAAAGCGATAGCAACCCACGAATTGCTGATTATGAAAGATTGCAAAATTCTCTATCAGATAAAAATATAAAATAATTATATTTCCAACAGTAAAGGTCGAAAAACGCGACTAAAAGTGCTAAAAGTGACATTTTGCAATTTTTGCCCATTTAATTCAATCGCGAATATCTCGTAAACTAAAAGAGATAATTAAGATCTGATCACAGCGTCTTAATCTACGGACTATACTCTATAAGATAGGATGGTTAAAACGGAAATCTGAGAGATGAAATTTTAAATCATAAGAAAAAATTGCCAAGGGGGTGCTTGATACTTTTTTTCGACGATTTTTGATAATTAATATCTCTTAAACTAAAAGCGATAGCAACCCACGAATTGCTGATTATGAAAGATTGCAAAATTCTCTATCAGATAAAAATATAAAATAATTATATTTCCAACAGTAAAAGGTCGAAAAACGCGACTAAAAGTGCTAAAAAGTGACATTTTGCAATTTTTGCCTATTTTATTCAAACGCGAATATCTCGTAAACTAAAAGAAATAATTAAGATCTGATCGCAGCGTCTTAATGTACGGACCAAAATCTATCAGATAGGATAGTTAAAACGGAAATCTGAGAGATGAAATTTTAAATCTTAAGAAAAAAATTGCCTAGGGGGGGTGCTTGATACTTTTTTTCGACGATTTTTGATAATTAATATCTCTTAAACTAAAAACGATAGCAACCCACGAATTGCTGATTATGAAAGATTGCAAAATTTTCTATCAGATAAAAATATAAAATAATTATATTTCCAACAGTAAAAGGTCGAAAAACGCGACTAAAAGTGCTAAAAAGTGACATTTTGCAATTTTTGCCCATTTTATTCAATCGCGAATATCTCGTAAACTAAAAGAGATAATTAGGTATCTAAACTATATGAGGCGTGATGTTCAAATTTAAAGCTGCGTTTTACAACTTTGTTTCCAATATTAAATCATCAATCGTATCGTATAAGCAGTTTTCTTGCAACAATTAAATACAACTGGATAGAGAATTTAATTCTGCAGATTTGGACCCCGCGCCCAAGTTTGTAATACGTTACTCCCAATAACAAAAAATAATTAAATTATTTAATGCTAGATTTATTTAATGTAGAAGGCGGTGGACCGCGACGTAAGAAAAACATAAATGCAAAGTAATGATCGACGCAGAAAATAAAACGAAATATATAATTGAATTATAAACTTACCAATGCAGAACTCATCAGACTCCAGGGCAGGGCAAATACTGCAAATAAAAAAAAAGAAAACATAAGTAATATTATATTCACACAGCGGAGAAAAACAAACAATACTCGTAAATGCTCTTTGGTTGAAAAAATACTTACAGAAGCACGATGGGTCATCCAAATGATAAATCAACATGGCCGCGATACACTTACGCGCAAATAATAAATAACTGTACTAAGTTACAAAAATCAAGTTAAAATTAAATTGTCGATTGATGATCGAATGTAATAGTCCGGATAAACGATACGAGTCGCACAAAATACGTCTGGATCAACTAGAGACCGGCACGAAACTGACCGCAAACTGTATAAGCAACGACGAGGCAGTTTATGATAAGAAAGCAAGTTGGAGCAACATGTGGCGTGAGGTGTTGGCAACGACGACACACGGCAATGCGATAAGAAAGTGTATATTGTGTTCAAAACAAACACAATTCTTGTGTCGAATGCTTACGCTTGGCGATAAATATAGAAATAAACAATGCAAGTTTATTTTACAATTTTTAGTCCACGCTATTTCTATCTATAAATGACAGCGGAGAAAAAAAAACATATGTGCTGTATGGTTAAAAGTTACTTACACCAACTCGATGGGTCATCCTAATGATGTATAAATCAATATGAGGTCGATCTTTATTTGATTTACCTAACAACTGTTGTGAGTTCCAATATACACTTTCCGCGCGATCACAAATCGGCCGGACGCCCATAAACGCGCAAATAGTAAATAATATTACTATAGTGATTACAATTAAATAGTACAGTGATGATTAAATATGATACAAACAATACGACTCGCGTAGAATACGTCTCGATCAACCTGAAACCGGCACGAAACTGGCCGCCAACTGCGCAAGCAACGACGCGACAATTAAGATAAGAAATCAAGAGGTGCGCGAAGCCGGCGCGTCGATGGCACCTTGAGTGCGAATTGCACTTGGCACGATACCTGCAATCAAAACAAAAATATGATGCAGCAGCATGCGGCGTGAGGGGATGGCTTCGACGACACACGGCAATGCGATAAGAAAGTGTGAATTGTGTTCAAAACAAACACTATTCTCGTGTCGAATGCTCACACTTGCCGATAAATATAGAAATATACAATACAATTCTATTTTACAATTTTTAAGTCATGCTAGTGCCATCTATGAATGATACAGTAGTTTCCAAATTTACATTATTAAAACATTATTAAAAAAATTAAAATTCGATTTGCGTAATTCTGATTTCTTATGCTGACAGATTGCCAGATTTTACATTAAATATTTAAGTAATATTTAATTTGAACATGTATCGTTTCTAGTTTACCAGGTAACACATTAGTCCGTAATCATCTGCTGATAATAAAAATGTATTTGAATTAAATTGTTAGTTATATTCATGAAAGAATTGAAGAATATTTGCTTTAAATTACGATCCTAATATAATAAACAGCAACGGTGTGTTTTGATTCCACGAAATAAAGATTCGATACCTGCAGGTAAACAAATTTATCTCTTGCGCGAAATCGCGTGATCCACACGGACACGGTGTGCACTCACTACCACCAACAATCAATATTTAATTCAAAACCGTACATCGTAGCGCCATCTAACCTTTGAAAATATTTATCAACTTCAAAACACATTTATCAAATATGCCACCAGGCCGATATTGCAATGAAATTGATTCTGGATATATGACTAGTTGTAATACCTGCAGAGGTAAGCAGGGGTACCGAGGATGTATAATTATGAGATAATAATTATAAAATAACACAAAAAAATAAAAAAGAGTTTGTCAGAAGTGGGATTCGAACCCACGCCCTCAGACGAGGACCAGAACGCTCAGAGCCTGCATACACAGGCAAGTTTGCACTTGAGTCTGGCGCCTTAGACCGCTCGGCCATCCTGACATACAAGTTCGCGTGCATAAAACATAATATATATTAACTTTTTGCACTTAATATTTACATTATATTACGCGACTATAAATTTTTACACCCAGAAAGAAAACGAAATTAAATATGATGTTTTATAATTTTTTTTAAAAAATCATCGACTTTATGTAATTCTCTGTCTAAATTTATTAAATTAAATTAGAATATTTATTTTCCCTACCATTTTAGGTATAAATTTTATAACTTTTGATTAATTCAATGATTTATTCAGTTTAATACTAGATTTTGCCCAAAGAAAAATTTTACTTATCTAGATAACAATGCAAGTATAATGTTCAGGATTTTGCACATCATTATTGACAGAACCATGACCATCATCACATATCTGTCCCATATATTCCTGCATCTTCTTAGGTAACCGACATTTGCAACATATTAGTTGAACAGACTTTGATCCGGTTGTCAACAAGATGATTTTGTTTTCTTTCTTGTGAAAGTTAACTTTTTTATGTGATTCATTCAGAGATTGCGGGCATGAAGTGTCGTCACATTCCTGAGTAACTGCTGGTGAATCATCAAAAGAACAAGTTCTTGAAGAACATGTTGGTTTAGGATGGCAAGGACTTAGTTTATTATCAATTTTCGAAGGTATAGAACAACTTGTAGACTTGCAATTACCTACAACTTTAGTCTCCACAACATTGCTGCGTTTTGTTCTGGGACAATCAAATTGCCGACATTTTTCTTCACCTGCCAAGACTCTGATTGGAGTTTCTTCAGGACACATACATTTATTATTGTGTGCTACGTCGTTGGTGCATGATGTAATGAAGATACCACCTTCTTCTCTAAATTGACTCTTCCAGACTTCTTCATGACTTTTTTTCGTTGATTGACCTGGCCCACATGCAGCCGATGACATTACAGGTCTTTTTTTCTGTTTTTTGGAACTACCACCAGTTTGGTGCCTTTTTTTACTCTTTGGTCTTGCACAACATCCCTTATTGATATTTGCATCAGAATCATCTTTTCTAAGATTTCTTTTGGTTATTGGTTGAACTCGGTTTTCAATGCAGCCACATGATGCTATTTTAATAAAGTTAACTTTCTCAGTATCAGGTATTGTATGTGTTTGGTATTTCTTATTTTCATAGTTTGTCCAAGTGTTGAAAGCTATTATATTATTAATCATGGAGTTTGATGTTTTATTACAGTCATCATCAAACACTTTGTCCATCTGATCCACAGATAATCTTCAAAACTTTGAACTGATGAGGCTTTATGATAATGAGTGTCCTACAATTGTTGCTTTTAAAAAGGATGTCATATTTAGGAAGAGGTAAAGTGTTGTCGATGCTCCAGTTATTTGTTGGCTTGACTGAGTTGTTGTAGAATCCTCAAGCTTAGTTTCATCACATTTTGAGATGATAGGTGTATTTGACACGCTGGAATTACACTCACTGCTTGTGTAAACAGAGCCAGTGCGTATTGGTAACTCCAGATTAAGATAGTAATATTTTTCAGTCATAATGAGAAATGAATGATTAACTAGCAAATTTTGACACTAAAATATGACTTTTTCCTTTAAGTGTATCTGTCATAACAATCATCTAGCAGAATTGTATTTTGCAACACAATTTAAGTCTAAAATTATTTATTTGTATTAGCTATTTACAGTAAGTATAATAATTTAGTATATAACAATTTTTAGTATTTTTCCACCTCTTCATTCTCAAATTTTAACATCAGCACATAGTATTTCGTTCCTCTCAAAATAATATAATTTCTCTCTTCCCTCGTCACTCTATTGTGTAATCTCAGTAAGCAAATTTGCAAATTGCACTTTTGTTAAGGCACTAGATAAAACGCTTTATTTAGTTTTAGTGGTGTTAGGAATCAACATTTCCATCATCATCATCATCTTCTTTTTGCTTGTCTTGCACGAAAAGCAATACAATTAAACCACATTATTGCTCTCAGCAACCTCCTGCTGAACGGTCACAATATTCCACCATACGTCCGACAATTACTAAACACGTACACAATTATACACACACGCATTATACAGGTAAGTAATAAATAAGTTTCGAATTCATTCTTTCATCTTCGTTCACATGAGTTGCTTCAATTTGCAACGTTGTTGTTTAGTGGTGTAATATCGTTTGATTTGATCCATAGTTGTAGTTGCAAGCTGCCGGGATCAGTCGATTGTTTGACTCATATAAATGATCAAAACGTTTTTGTTCGTTGTATTACTCTGGGTTGGTTTACAGGGCTTGGTCACCATTGTAATACGCATTGCGGTTTAGCGGTTGACGTTCGGGCGCATCAGATGGACGATTTCTCTTGAAGAAACCAAGCTAAAAAATCATATAAAATCATTTTTGTTTTGTTACTTATTGAATCATTTCAATGCATACCTTATGCAGCAAATAAATCAACAACAGTAAAACAATTGTGCCACCCACGGCTGATAACACAATCACCCACAATGGCACGATATCTGTTTTGGTGTCCGGTTGCGGCGCTGCTATAGTCGTGAAGATTTCATGGCTGTGAACAGTCCGATTTACTGGTCTTCCAATGTAGGGTAGTTTATCAATACGTGCCAACATCATTGATGAAAAACTGATTGATTGAGACGTCGTAATCTACCAAAAAAAATAACAAAACATCATAATAAAGAATTTTATGTTGTTTGATGATTAATTAAACTTACATTTCGCAAAGTGCGTACATTCACCCTAGACCTCAAAGCAATCAAAGCAGCATGATCCTTCAACAATGGTCCCACCGTGCATCTGATAGTAAGACACTTAGAAGACTGACACTGCATGAAATCCCGAATATCTTTCTCTTCAGTATCACGCTTCTTACGACCCATGAAACGCTGATCATAATTAGGCCGATCAGTAGCGACATTATCACGACCTTGGTAATGTGTAGACATACCACCAGTCCCTCTACCTGATGAAGACCATGATGACTCTGAATGTGACTCATAGTGTGTGGAACCACTTTGAGCACCATGAGCGCTTTGATGTCCATAACCACCAGTTTGAGCACCATGGCCAGAGGAGCTAGAGCTATAATGCACCCCATGACTAGCACCTGTATTATCAGCATGCGCAGAAGTACCAGAACTACCAGATGTAGATCCACCAGTTCCAAGTATACCCAAGTCAATACCAGTGGTTCTGAAGCCACCACCAGCGGCGGCTGATTCTGCCCAGCCTCCTGATGAACTACCATAGGTACCTTGATGTGCACCTCCATGGGAAGCTTGGCTGAAGTTGTAACCAGCGCCATGACTCTGACTGTGTCTACCCTCTTGGTTTAAATCTTGATAGTCCTCTTCTGAACCATTGTAAATCTCCTCGGAATAATTGAAATCTTGTGCTGATTGTTGATGAGTTTGTGTTTGTGTTTGGGTCCCGTGACTTGATACAGAACCAGATGATACAGTAGCTGTTGCAATACCATAGTTTCTATTATATTCCTCCTGCCTTCTTCTGTATTCCTCTAGCTGTTGTCTATACTCTTCATCTCTTCGTTGTTGTTCAATTCGTCGTGCTTCTTCTTCAGCCCTTATTCTAGCTTCCTCATCGGGTCTTCTACGACCTGAAGATACAACTGTAGCAGAAGCAGCCAATCTTCTTTGTTCTTCAACTCTGATTCTTTCTTCTTCAACACGTCGTTGTTCCAACATAATACGGTGATGCTCCTCTGCTACTCGTCGTTCTTCCTGCTGCCGCCTGAGTTTCTCTTCCTGACGACGTGCTTCTTGTTCATGAATTCTTCTCTCTTCTTGTTCACGTTGTCTCTCAGCATAAAAGTCTCTATTCTGTTGGTATACATCAGCAGAAGACGCTGAGGGTCTACCACTTGTGGTGTGATTACTCACTGATGCAGAATTCCAATCAAAATGACGATTTATATTTATATTTGTCTTGTTTGGACGTTGGAAGTAGGTTCCGGATTGATATGTGGTGTGTCCACCATCGGAAGCATTGAATTGTTGACCGGATCGACGGCCTTCAACGTAAGAAGTGCTATCAAGATAACCCCCCGCAGAAGATGTTGAAGATGAAGATGAAGAAGCCGTGGCTGTACCAGAAGAACCACTAGTGAAGGATATAGCAGCTTCTGAAGGTTTATTACCCGAAGAAGTATAGACTATTGTATCACTTCCTGTGAACCTGAACCTGTACCAGCATGTCCTTGATATACTCCGCTTGCACTTCCACCTCTACTTGAACTGCTACTGCTACTACTACTACTTCCAGAATACCCACTTTGATATCCACCACTTGATCCCCCACCCCCACCACTTGACGATGAAGATGAAGATGTGTGCGAGGTTTGAGTAACATGTACTCTCCCACCTTGAAAGTCTTTGGAATAAGTGGTGCCATTCTGAGACCATCCTTCAGCCACGTGTGTTTCGGATACTTTACTACCACTTCCTGTATCTTTGCTCACATGTACAACTGTGCCACTTCCGCTACCAGCTGCTAAACCACTTGAAGCAGAACTTGTTACCTGTTGCCTTTCCTCAGCTTCATTTCTATTCGTGTGTTTGATATCCTTAGGTGTGGACCCATGAGTTCCTGGTCCTTCCATAATTACCAACCCTCCAGCCTGGGTTAAACTAGCAAACTCACTCGGGGATATACCTAACTGATCCCAGATACTTTTCTTCCTTACTTCTAACTCGTAACCTCTGTAGTTTGCTTCGGCAACCTCACATTTCATATTTCCTAAGATATGAGGTTGTTCAACAAGATATAGTAAATCTTCTCCACCTAAAGTAGCATATGGCCAGAAAAACACAACTTCTGCTTCGTTAAAACTGGATGGTCCATTATTCTTAATCGAATATAGATGAATAACCTGTGGTCCAATATCACTCTCTTTGGTAATCTTCTCCGATGAGAAAACTGAAGCGTTGTAATGAACCTCAGCTGGTTTCGAGGTGCCTGAAAGTTCCAGTTGGGAATTCACCCAGATGGGTATGGACTTTTCAAAACGATTATCAAACATGGTGTCTGGTGTTTCCGGATTGGTGCTGTTGACAGTCATCAGAAAATCATAAGTTGGACGCATTCCTTCCCTATGCTGAGCAGTATCCAACAAAACCGTGAAGCGTACAATCTTATTCGCTGGCAACGGATTTCCAATGTCACAGATAACGGTATTATTCTCAGGAGCAGAACATAAGATTCTAACTTCAGTATGGCCACCTTGACGGATCTTATTAAAAAGGATACCTTCAGGGAGGTGCATATCAAAAGAAGATTCAAAGGAATCTTCACCCAGGTTGTGGACCACAACATCAAATTCCAATTTGTCTTTTGAACCCTGCAGAAAACTTTCAACATTCCTGTAAAACAATAAAAAATTACAGTAAATAAATGCGAAAGTCCTGATGTTTGTTACACTTTCACGCAAAAACTACTTAACCGATCATCATGAAAATTTGTACACATATTTTTAGTGGTCCCCGAATGGCTATAGGCTACTTTTTATTTAATAAAAAAATTATTTTTAAAATAAAATAAAGAAATTGTTTAGCCAATAATACCTCTGCATCTGGCTATTTGACTACTTTAACGCCATCTAGCATTCCATCAATGAAGCTCAAATCTAAGTACTATAGTACCATCACACTGTGTTATCACACTGTATTACCGACAGCTACGTCAACATCAAATCCAATTGACTACACTATGGAGACTGTACACTATACTTTCAGCCATTTTAAACTTCCCGCCATTCTACTTCATTATTACTTCTTCTGTGACTACAGACGCGTACGGAAGCAATTTCATTATTTTAGATATTCACGAGCGAAGCCTAGTTTTTAAATAAATAAATTGGTAAATAATACTTACGATTTAACTTCAAGTTTAAGGTTAGGTATGCAGATATTATCCGGTCCACAATTTTTATGTATAGTCAGTGAATCCTTATTGGTTTGTTTATGATTCGGGTCTAGAATAGGAGTGACGGGTATTCTAGGATCTCTAGGTCTGTTGAGATACAACGATTGTGCTTCCTTCATAGCATATTTAACCTCAAATTCTAAAGGTGTAAGTTTATCCTTAATATCACTCTGAATATACACCATCTTCTCCCTGCAGGTCATATCCTGACCCTGTCGCAATCGAATGTTTTCTTTCATACTGGTACTCTCCTCTTTGGTCAAGAAGAACATCCTCGGAGGTGTTTTCTTCCCGTCCAACACATATTCAACATCAAGTTCAATGGCGGATGGTACATTTTTCCCGTGGAATTTCATACAAATCTTAACACGTGTACATGGAACCTTGCCTCCATTCCTTAACGTACAGTTCTTCTCTTCAAGGACAATCTTTTTATTTCTATTTAGAAAATCCACTTGTGATTCGATTTTCACCACAGGACGAGCCCTGAAGAAGAAAGCGGTGTCGCTATCATAAGCACCTACAACCATATCAGGGTAATCATTGGAATCCAGATCAACTCCACCAGATAAAGAGAAACCAAAGGTTTTGATCGGAAGACCATGACTGACATCCTCCGCGTAAATAACTTGACTGTATTTTGCTTCATTCAAGGATTTAGCTCCGTGGTAGATGTAAACAGCTCCACGTTCATTTGGTCCTCCGTATGGAGCACCCACAGCAAAATCAGCATACCCATCAATATTAATATCCCCCAGGGTTGCAACCGACAACCCAAAACGTGATTTTGATTTAAAACCATCAATAGTATTAAATCTCCTGAATTTGGAAGCTTCTCTTCCTTGGTAGATGACATAAACCCGCCCCACTTCATATTTGCCTTCATTATTAGGCTCAACATGCAGTGGCGCCCCCACAATGAGATCATCAGTCTTATCACCATCGAAATCACCTGCTGCTATGCTATATCCGAAATAAGTACCAATTTGATGTCCATATTCCGCAAGGGAAATGTTTTGATAGTTGGTAAGGTTCCAAGTGAAGAGGTTGATTTGTCCTAGAAGGCGTGATCCACGTGGTTTACCCACAGCTACTCCCTGCTCACCATCTCCTGTGAAATCTCCTACTGCCATTGAGTATCCCATGTAGGAGTCATCTTCTAATGCCACGCCTTCATTGGTTGACACCACAGCAGGGCGTTTCTCCAGGGGTTGTTGACTTACTTGACCTAGAAGAATTTAAAATTAATTTAAGCCGGTTCTGGTTATTGAGAAGAACATCGACCAGGTTGTGCGTTGATTAATTGCAGAATTAAAATAAAATTAAATAATTAGATCATTAATAATATAATATCATAATTTTAAATTAGAAAGAAGCCACCCATTTTATTTTATTTTATTTTATGTTTCGGTTCACGGTAGGTATTTGCTGAGTGTTTTGCTGGTGCGGCTCAAAATATAGTTGCGGTGTAGAAAATAAAACAAAAAACGAAAGAATTTGTTTTGGAAGTTAAGCTTTTACGACATAGAGGGCGCTACGGAGCGCTAGTGTTTTGACAGTGCGCGTCGCCGCCAGAGGGCAACGCGGTTACCTTGTGCGAAGAGGGCGTGGCACGTCTGCGCCAACCAACGCGGCCGCCGACTGTGCTGGTCCAATAGGCTGACATCTTTGTCAAAAACACACCAAAAACACATTTTACGTGGTTTTGTCATCCACACAAAACGTAGGCAACACACAACACAAAACAGTGTTTAGTAGTGTGTGTGAAATGTGAAAGAAAATTATCTTCAAGTGACAAAAAATGACATGATAACGATGTCAAATACACTGATATTAATTTTACAATGATAACACATTCAGATTACCTAGACGAAACGTCGTGCAGCGTTCGATTACCGATTCGCTGTGTCGTTGCACTTGAAATATCAAAATGGCGGATAAATATTAATCAAAAGAGTTGGTGCACACTCATTGCAAGATAAAGGTGAGATTACCTTTCGAGAAGAACACATCGCAACATACCAAATCGTCGGCGTCGTATTCTAAGATGGCCGACGGCAAGAACGCAACCAGTCACACGAAAACAAAACCTTTCAGTTTAATTGCACTCGAAAACAATAGGCAACCGGCGATTTGAAAATGTTTATGACCGTGAACGTTAATGTTTTAAATCAATTTAAATTATAAACACACTGTATGCTACATACAATGTGTACCCGCAACATATAAAAGTGATAAGCGTTGTTTAGTAGATAAACAGATGAAGAATGATGATACAGTCCTCTTTTGTATCATTCAATATGATTTGATGAGAATTATTTGCCTGCTGGTTTTAATGATTTAATAATTTAGTATTTAAAGTGTATGTTGGGTTGCATAGTTGCATGTGGAAATTAATCACAGCTTCTACGAATTTTTTTTTTTTTTTTTTGTTGAGAGATTATTATTGGTTTGAAATGTGATTTGCGAATGGAATGATCGATACGATTAATAAGATTTATTGTTGGTTGGTGGTGTGGGATTGATTTTTTTTTGTTTTGCTGGAGGATATATGTACCTGAGCCGAAGGCTCCGTTGGTAAATAATCCCGGACTAAAAGGAAATTTGGCGTTCGCATCGATCGAAAATATTTGGCCTGAAACACACAAGATTCCCAAATGGTTCACATTTTTGCAATTATTTTATACACGTCGTGAAAATTTCTAGGAGAAAAAAAAACAACAAGGAAAAAATCTGAAATTAAAAAAATTAAAATAAACAAATTACCTTGCCAGTAATAACTGCCTGGTGCACCAAGGAATAATCTATGTCCATCCTAAAACAAAAAAAAACATAAATCAATGCAAATTCGTAAAATTTAAGCCTGAAAACTAGGTTAGAATGAATTGTTGTGTATAAGTGGTTGCATACGTTAAGCATTATTGTCACACTCCGCTGAATTTATAGATAGCGCTAATTGCTACAAGCACTTCGTTTCGTGCTTCATGCATTCAACATGCTTGAAGAATCCCAAGATACTTTTAGCTCTTGGCTGAGAGGGTGTAACCATGAAACAAATTCGTGGCATAATTCAAGTGCTTGAGATATGTAGTCGCTCACAGAGCGTCCCGACAGGAACGAATGAGAACAATGTTAAGTAGCTGGTCTCACCGAACCGATCGCCGATCGGCATTTGCTTCTTGAGCAAAGTCAACATCTGGCGACGAGTCGCCCAAAGAAAAAATGACACCAATAAATAAATGCACGCAGGTTCTGTTGTCATCGAAATTTGGGCGTAGGTCGTAAAATTTAAAATCATGCAAAATGCAAAAACCGGGTGGTAAAGTCAAAAGCCATAAATTTTCATTTTAAATGAAAAAAAATTATTGAAAAATTTTCATGTCATGCGCATTGAGAGTATTGTTGCATACGTTGACCAAAAATGGCTGAGAAAACTGCGAATTACTTTTTAAGAAAAGAAAAGAAAAAAAGAGCACGAGGATTGTGAATTCAACTCGCATGCATTTTTTTTTGTCTCCTCAGTGGAGCCAAGACCATATATCGAACATTTCTGCATGTGCGTTGTGTTTTTTCGTCGATGAATTTTATTTTTTTGTCGCGCAGTTTTATTGCCGCGTCGCGCCGACGAGCAATTTGTAAACAATTAATTTTCGATTACGAATTCACCCCGAGTCGCATGCCACCAACACCAGACGGGCCCGTAAAGCATGCATGAAGAAACCGAAAAAAGAAAAAGAAAAGAAAACGAATCGAATCGAGATGCAACCGAAACAAAAACAGAAAAAAACATATGTGTGTGATGTGTGATGAATGCAGCATGAGCACGATTTAATATTAATCGATGCCTGGCGCTGAAAGGAATTGAAGCAGCATGAGATAAAATAATAACGTCGAGATGAATTCAATTCGATTTGAGATCATAAATTACCGATAAATAAAATTACAAAATAATTTTTTAAGTTTAAAACATGTAACATGTATATTTGGTTGCCTATATTATAAGAGTAGTTTTGAATTAATTTTTGTTTTTAATTATTTAAAACTACGGCTTTGCTCGCGAATATCTTAAATAATGAAGTTGCTTCCGTACGCGTCTGTAGTGACAGAAGAAGTAACAATGAAGTAGAATGGCGGGAAGTTTAAAATGGCTGAAAGTATAGTCTATGGAAGTATAGTGTACAGTCTCCATAGTGTAGTCAATTGGATTTGATGTTGACGTAGCTGTCGGTAATACAGTGTGATAATACAGTGTGCTGGTACTATAGTACTTAGGTTTGAGCTTCATTGCTGGAATGCTAGATGGCGTTAAAGTAGACAAATAGCCAGATGCAGTGGTATTATTGGCTAAACTATTTCTTTATTTTATTTTAAAAATAATTTTTTTTATTAAATAAAAAGTAGCCTATAACCATTCGGGGACCACTAAGAATATGTGTACAAATTTTCATGATGATCGGTTAAGTAGTTTTTGCGTCAAAGTGTAACAAACATCAGGGATAAGTAATAATGGAGTTTTATTGGTGACCCCACGTGAGATGTAAATTTCAATAATCCAATTTGGATCGCATTATCAATTCGTCTCAGAATTTCGATCTTGATTTTCATCTTTGAAAATCGTCGTTGATTTCGACGCGTGATTATTTCTCACGAATTCAATCTTGAGTGCGCACGCTGCCTTTGTGGCACCATATTAGCCCGAATCCCATCATCTGCATCAACTCTATTCCCGACTTTCGTGTGAGTGCTCTCTCGGCTTTGGCGCACAATGAGGATCGGCAGGTGGGCCGCCGAATTAAATTCAATTATGTTCGGGTGCATCTCGTGCATCTCATGCGAATGCAGAGAGAAATTGTTTAAGAGATACATTCCACACAAATTTAAAAAAAAATTAAATATTTAATACATATTTTTATTGTTTAAATTAATAAAAAGGATCAGTAACTTTTGACTAAAATAAATTTAAATTAAAAAAAAAATTTAAAAATGAATGTATCCCCTTAGATTTATAATTAAATTATTTTGATGTGGTCGGAGATTATGTCGCTGTGATGGGATTTACGTTCATGCATATTAAGCCCCAATAAAGTGGTGTAATTAACGAAAAATGCACAAAATCAAGTCGAGAAAGTCAAGATGCACGACGATTTAATAAAGAAGCCAAAAATGTCAACGATTATACCACAAGGGCAATGTTGGTGGTCCATGCTACAAGCCCATATACCGACGATTACCATATTCAAGATCGTAAATTAAATAATCGCAAATTTAATATAAAAATTTAAAAAAATAAAATCTACTATAAATCAATTTAAAATTTAGTAGGAAATTAAATCCTGTTGTAAAATAAGATGTTATATTTATATTGTCATCATGACTTTTAACTTTCAACGTAAAAATTAATCGGTTAATGTTTTTGCGGATTTTTTTTACTTACGTTTGTAAGTGCAGCGCTGAAACCCGCCTGACACGAGCCTTGTCGATGGTAGCCAAAGTATCCTGCAAAAAACAACAAAAATAAAAAATTAAAAGAACACAGAAGGTTTTAACATGATGCCGAAAACAAAATAGAAGTGAAATAAATCAAGAGTTCAGACAATAAAAAAGACCTGCCCAAAAGAGTTTCATGCTTTTTTTGCATTGAGAATTTCATCGCAATTTGTTCAAACAGTTGGAAATTCTTGAGGCTGGGAATGGGTTCGCATGTTGCATTGTTTTCACGACATTTTATTGTCTTGGGCAGTTTATAGCAAATTGTTTCAGGCGGCATGCTGAAACAATAATCAGCTCAGTGTTAAATTCTCTTGCATTCCACTTGAGTATTGACCTTTTATTTTTTTTATGACAACTGTTCTATTAATTCCAAGACAAGCATAAGTTTAATCCCTAATAATATTATAAATGCGAAAGTCCTGATGTTTGTTACACTTTCACGCAAAAACTACTTAACCGATCATCATGAAAATTTGAACACATATTCTTAGTGGTCCCCGAAAGGTTATAGGCTACTTTTTATTTAATAAAACAAATTATTTTTTAAATAAAATACAGAAATAGTTTAGCCAATAATACCTATGCATCTGGCTATTTGACTACTTTAACGCCATCTAGCATTCCAGCAATGAAGCTCAAACCTAAGTACTATAGTACCATCACACTGTATTATCACACTGTATTACCGACAGCTACGTCAACATCAAATCCAATTGACTACACTATGGAGACTGTACACTATACTTCCATAGACTATACTTTCAGCCATTTTAAACTTCCCGCCATTCTACTTCATTGTTACTTCTTCTGTGACTACAGACGTGTACGGAAGCAACTTCATTATTTTAGATATTCGCGAGCGAAGCCAAGGGTTAAAGCTAGTAGTTGCATAAAATATAAAAAGATGTAATGTTGGTTGCCTATAGTAAAACTATATAAAAATTAAAAAATATTATTTTTGCTTAGAAAAAACGAAATAAATAAAATAAATTTAAGGAAATGTCTAATAAAGTCCCTATTTATTACTAAAACATAAAAAAACACAAAAACACAAAAAAAACTTCCGCTTCTTTTCAATTCACAACTTTTGTGTATTTCCCATCATGTGTTAGTGTTAGTGCTTTGGTTCTAAATTTACGATCGGCGTGTGTAAGGCGCGTAAAGTGTGGAAAGGCATTATGCAGAACGTGGAACTTGTGCGCGCAATAAACGAAGTGCACATGTGCGCGACACATGCACCAACAAGGAAACTCCGTAAGCTTTTATGGCGCGCGTAGCTTGTGCCTCGCCACACTACCAACTACAACTGCTTACTTAGTGCGTAAGAAGAAATGAGTTCATAACGCGTAATGCGGTTCGCACTTGACAAACGCAATCCAGACACATTTATACATCCAGTGGACCAGATGCAGGCATGCAGAAAACGCTCATAACTTTTGACAGTTTTTGTGGCGTCCGACGGTTCCGACAGGAAACACGAGCGTCATGACTTCCTTCACAGCGGGATTATCATAACAATCACCAAGCGAACAAAATAAGAGTATTTAAATATGGACTTTACTGGAATTATGTGTGAATATTCGCTAAAACTTTTGAACGTGTTTAATACAATAGTTGTGCACTAATTGAAATGTATGCAACCCAAATAACATATGTTGGGGATTTACATTTATAATACAAACATATTACTAGTTTTAACCATGAATAATTATAACCTATTTTAGGCACACCGTGGAGCATAACCGCATGTTATAAGACAAACAGATATGACAGGAAGAGGTAAATTTGCAATCGACGGAAATTTAAAGATAAATAAATAAAAACAACGGATATTTAGACGAATAATAACGGTTTTCTGTAAAACGGAATAATATGACACAGAAACAGAAAAATTTATGTTTAAAGAAATATGTTGTGGTGCACAAGATTTTATCTATATCGGATTTAATGCGCTCGGATGTAATCTTTCATTGCATATCATCACGTCGGATGATTTAAACTCGTGGAATTCACCGAAAAGAATGCCGATAAAACCACTTATGTATATAAAAATTAATATTCATCACACGCAGGTAAATAAATAAATAAATCTCAACCCTTTGAGAAGTTTTTTTGCTTTTTTTTTTATTTTTTTGGTGTTTTTGTTGTTTTTAGGTTAAAATTGTGATATCTAGGCAACTTTTGATGCGCGTTCTCATCGATACATGTGTAGTGTGTGTATTTGAGTTCGTGTTGATGGTTTAGTAGGCCTAGGTTCCTCAGGTTCAAGAGTTGTTATCTGCGGTGATCATCGGCACACACGATGGGCGCGCGCGCAACGTGCGCGGACTTTTAAATTCCCGTTTTAGCCGGAATCGCATACGAACATATACAACTACTACATACAAGTAGAATACAGTAAAAGAAACTAAAGAATAAAATAAAAAGAAGAAGGTAAAGATTGTCAACGTCTGCTCGGAACATTTTTTTTTTTTTTTTCGGCAAACTGACACAAATAAAAAAAGAATAAGAAAAAAAAAAAAACTTCTGAAGAAGTCAAGTTTTATGACAATATCAACAGGCAGATGATATATCACACTAGTTATGCAAAAAATGAAAAAATGCAAGAAATTGAGAATATTTCACATTTTTATAAGAAAAATCGACACCAACATAGATTTTGAGTCACATTTTGTTGTTTAAATAGTGATTGAATAAAAATATGTTATACTACGTGGTTGCAAAGAATTTGCGTAGGTTCTTCCGCTTACCAAACACAACAACTACCGACTGAGACTTTGATAACGCCCGCGCTCGTGCACATGCATAATTACGTATAAATATAAACAATTCATTTTTATGAATGTGATCATATTACTTTGAGTCACTATACGAGCAAATATATCATTAAAACCCTACTGAGTCACTATTGAGTAACACGCTTAATGGCTTAATTTAGACTACTGACAACTTTTCCATTTTATTTTTGTGTATTTGACCACAATATTTACAAAGTGATGCAGAGTCATGAATAATATTAGACCAATCAAATGTGCAATTCAGTTTAAGCATGGAATAATGATGACTCAAGTTTGCAATGTGTGAAAATCATTAGAAACTTTAAATTCAAAAAAAAAAAAAAAAAAAAGAAAAAAAGTGTGTTAAATCTGTTTTTACTTAATAAAAGTTTTCAACGTCTTGCAAATTATGTGAAAGAACTGAAAATTTCAATTAAAATAAATTCTACGTTCAGTTACTTGAATTTACTGCAAGTTAAACTTAAGTCAAGTTGATTTAACTAGGTTTAAAACCTAATATGCGCACGTAGACGTAAGTTGACGGATATATTCAGTAACGAAAAAGAAGCTAAATATATTTTCACGCTCAAAATAGCTCTGGAAACTAGAGGGAATATTCCATACGCAGAATAAAGAAAGAGTTTGATCAAAGGAGGGTGAATAACGAACGCTGGAGTGTATTAAAGTAAGCAGACTAAATAAAGTCACTAAACAAATGAGTAAGTAAATCCCTACTAATATTATAAATGCGAATGTCCTGATGTTTGTTACACTTTCACGCAAAAACTACTTAACCGATCATCATGAAAATTTGTACACATATTCTTAGTGGTCCCCGAATGGTTATAGGCTACTTTTTATGTAATAAAAAAAATTATTTTTTAAATAAAATAAAGAAATTGTTTAGCCAATAATACCTCTGCATCTGGCTATTTGACTACTTTAATGCCATCTAGCATTCCAGCAATGAAGCTCAAACCTAAGTACTATAGTACCATCACACTGTATTATCACACTGTATTAACGACAGCTACGTCAACATCAAATCCAATTGACTACACTATGGAGACTGTACACTATACTTCCATAGACTATACTTTCAGCCATTTTAAACTTCCCGCCATTCTACTTCATTGTTACTTCTTCTGTGACTACAGACGCGTACGGAAGCGGATTTACCTTATCTTGGTCTTGAATTATTCGTGGAGGTCTAGGGAAGGTTTAAAAGGTGAGAAAAACTTTATTATTTTAGATATTCGCGAGCGAGATGGCGCGCTGAAGTGCATTATTGAAGCTTATTGATAGAATTGACTCTTACTCCGAGTATGCTAGTTTAAGATCGCGGGCAACAGCTAAAATAAAACTATTGACTTTTCGATGTCTTTATTTTTGACAATTGACAGCCAGTTGCAGTGCGTGCATTAATTCGAGGTTATATCTGTTGGCATCACAATGCAAACGCCTCGCATTGTCCACCATAACCGATGTCGATGACGCCGCAATTTTTACCAAAGTTATATGAAGCCATCAACGCAGCTCAATATCCGCAATGTAACCGGCATTAAAACCGACGACCACAGGCGAATGAAAAGAAATCGATTTTCGGCCGTTTATTACGTGGATTTTCGGTGAAATGCACTTCTTGGAAATGCTAGCAATAAACGCGGCATAATAAAGCTGACGGTTATGTATATTGGGTTGCATATTCTAGGGCGTGATTGGCTTCTTATTGGGTTTATTTGTTGTGGATGACGATGACGCAGCGATTTATTCATCGCTATAAAAAGGCATTGTGTAATTGGCACGCTTTTAGAGCGATGAAGGGGAACCTTTTTCGCCCGCGATGATTTTTATCGACTTTTTTATAGCCAGGCAATTTCGTTTACAGGCATATTGCGCATGTGCAACCAAAATGACATTTTAATCAAGAATTTTGCTGGTACGAATAATAAACAAAAATCGCTATTTTTTTATTATGTTTTTTATATTAAAGAAATGTCTATAAAATTATAACCGCACACTATGAGTATGAGTAGAAGTTCATTTGGTTGCGGATGCGTCTTGAGTCGTTCACGGGTGACCTGCCGCGGCGTTCGGGCTCATTAACTGCGTGATGCGATAGTCGCAACCGTCGGAATCATCGCCACACACCACACATCTACATCTACACTATGACTGACAGCGTGTATGCAACTGTATGCAACCCAACACATACACATACACGCGCATACGTCATTATCGCTGCCGGGATTGAGGAAATGACCGAAAACGCATTACAAACGTGCTTCCTTTTTAAGTTTCATATGCCAAGCCCAAAATTTCAAACATATCAAACAAACCCTATGCGATAATTATAATTATCTGTCATATCAAATCCAAAACTTAATTTTTTACATCCGTAATATTTATGAAGTAAAATTAAAGTAAATTTACTCACGTGTCCGACATGGTGAATATTCTGAATAGTTCCTAAAATCAGGGGATGAGACGTAGCAAGTGCCGACGGGATCACGACGATCGCCCTTCGTTCCATAATAAACGTAGCGTGGTGCGCAGGCCTGAAAATAAAAAAGTTCTGCAGTCAATAAAATATTATTATTAACAAGTTTTCGATGGTTTATGAGTGTGTTCGGTACACGCAGCCCAACAAATCAGTACCCAATTATTTATTAATTTGCCATAATTGCCCCGAAAGTTTAATTTTTGATTGCGATTTACGAGAAACATTTAATTGGAGTCATAAATCCATATATCGTAATATAGGCAACCAGGATTACACCAAAATTGTATATTGGTTACCTACACGTATATTAATACAAGGTTTTAATGATGAGTTATTTCACGTTTCATCAATAAAAAAGATTAAAATTTTACTACAACATGAATAAAAGTAGTTTAATATGAATTTCATCGAATTTGAAACTAAATACGGTCGTAAAAGATGAACACGTCATAAAAATGTTTGGTTATGTTGTGTTGCGCTATTCGGATGACTTCGCCTAATGTTATTATGGAATTAAATGTAAAATTGATTGATTTTAACTCGTGAAATTGGATAATTACAAGCCAGCCACAAACAATACACGAAATAATTCGCTGTAATACTTGTACAACGATTTAATAGTTGTCGAGGAGGAGGTCGTTATGTCTGGCTCTGGAATCTCGAGTATCTGAAGTATTTAATTAACGACTAATGAAATTAAATTTATTATCAAATAAGCTGAGTGCATTAAACAGTTTAAAGCATGGAAAGATGAATGAATGATGCAAAGCTTCAAAGCATGAAATGAATTTGAGAAATATGAGAAATTTTAATTTGTCTGGGATTGTTTTAGCTATTAGAATAGATTGCTGCGGTTTGATGTCAAGAGGCGTTTAGTGTTCAGAATTCGAGCGATTGAGACCATCCCACATTAAGCACAAATGTTTAAATCAACGTAGGAATATAGTCTTAACACCAAAATAAGAAATATTTTGTGAGGTGTAATAATTAATAGTGTATTAAGTATCAAGTGGCTAAATGGGGACTTTAGTCACGAGATTCATTAATCGAGTGTTTTATAACTTTTAGCCACATGATGTTTACGCTATTTTTCTACTAAAACTCTATTTTAAATCTTCTAAATTCGCTCGCATGTTACTTTATTGCTTTAGTCACGGCTTAAACCACTTTAGTCACGACCTTAACCATCAGTATTTAAAATACCACAATTTTTATTCAAAAACCATGAAAAAACTGATGGATGTAGAAAAAATAATTTTATAACCTCAACATAACCTCTTTTACATTAAACTACTTTTTTTCTAGGTTATGATTAATTCTTCTTTGGATGGTTGCTAGACTATGTACATTGAATACTTGAGATAAAACAAAATCGTTGGTTGTGTGGCGATGCGCATCAAGAATGAGGAACAAGGAAGTGTTCGATATTTCAACTGTTGTTCAACTCAGTCGGATGTTTAGGATGCTCGACATGGCGGTGTGTCGAAATCCACACTGTTTGCCCAACGCCTGAACATTCGTTCTAAACACACTCTGCTTCACTGGTTTGGTTTGTATTAAACATTTCGTAATCCAGTCGAGTTTTATTCACAAACCGACACACATTGCACATTTCTCATTCTACCACAAATGCTAATTTTGAGCAAATCTCAATCTCAACTTTTGGTTGAGGTTATTCTAGGTTATGTAGTGTTTAAAGTTAGTTATAGACATTTAAAAACCCCGTCATCCTTTGTAGGTTGTCTCCGAGAGAGTGCATTAATAAAGAATCTCTTTTTGTCGGCTTCTTGGCAAGTAGCAGGCAGCAAAAAAAAGTTGACTTTAAAGGCGGTGAGGTATGACTCGAACGCAAAATGGATGCGCCGAGCAAAGAATGCGCCATCGCCATCACCATCGCCATCAACATCTCAGCACATTGAGGTTATGTTAAGTTATGTTAAGGCGGGAAGGAATGTCAACCCGCCGACTGCAAACACACTTTTGGCATATTTGCACTTTAACCATATTTTACTCAACAACAAACAAAAACCACACTTTAAATGAGGTTAGAACATAAATTTAACTCAAATGACTTAAGTCTAAATTAGATTTAAATAAGTACATAACAGTTAGTTTTAATCAAACCGTTTAGAATACAATTTACTGCAGCGTGTGGTTCATTAGTTACGAAGAGAAGTAAGATGTGAGGTGCGCGCGCAATCTCGCAGGTAATCAATGCGCGATTGATGGTGTAAGCAATATGCCAACGCGTTGAGTGTGCGCATGCGTCAAAGACTTTAAAAGAGGTAAAGCTTATGCTAAATTAACTCAACGCGCATACAAGTTAATACGAGACGTGAAAATGAAAAATGAAAAATTAAAAATGAAAAATGCAAGTCTAAAGATGATCGTGCACGCCGCACACGCTAACGATCGATGATTAATGCAAGATGATTATGATGAAGACCTTACTAACCCACGTAGATGGGTATATTGAGACAGAAATACGTTAAAATTAAAACAATTTATAAAAATATTTTAAACTAGCTGTTGCCCGCGACTTCGTTCCGGCAGTGTTTAATAAAAATGTAATTCGTTTTACTCTCTTGTTCAAGACATACTCGTAGTAAGAGTCAATTCTATCAATAAGATTAGCAATTTTAATTTAAAGAGATTAATTATATAAAGTTTTGTCAATAATGCACTTCAGCGCGCCATCTCGAATTCAACTATTTAACTATAACTATGATTGAATCTCAATGTCAAATTTTATTCTATAGAAAAGAGCTGTTTTGAGGATTTTCCCGGCAAATATTTGAATTTTTCTCACCTTTTAAACCTTCCCTAGACCTCCACGAATAATTCAAGACCAAGATAATATAAATCCGTTCAGCCGTTCTCGAGTTTTAGCGAGACTAACGAACAGCAATTCATTTTTATATATATATATACATCGCGATTCTCTATGAAGATTCAAGTATTGTAATTAAAATTGAGGTTATGTAGGTGTAGGCAACCCAACATACATTGCACATAACCTAAAATGATGAAAAATAGTAAAAAACGTTTAAAAATGTAAATTTTGAAATTTTAACCTCTAACCTCTAACCTCAAAACAAATTAATGTATAAATTGTTCATTATTTATCTAGTAATGAATAAGCATAGGCAGACAAGTTGACGACTGCGTTCGCGATATAAAAAAAACCAGCGTCGGCATTGATGGACGTTGAACTTTTCATCTCGTCGCATCGCACGCCCATATAAACGCGTCGTTAATGCATCATCGATACCAACTCTATATCATCCGTTACCAGCTATCTAACGACTAACCTCTAACACGTCCGCGTGTGCACTTGCATTGCGCGTACGTACGCTGCACGGCTGTTGTTGTTGTTGTGGGATTATCGAGAAAAAAGCAGTCTAAGGTCGTCACTCGTCACATGAGCGGTTTGCGGAACACGAAACACGCCAAACGGCCACAAACCAGTAAGCGACGACATCAATGTCAGTGCCATCGTGCTGAGGACTGCACGCATGCGCAAAGTATCATATTAACGCCGATGTTGATAAAATTCGATATATGCAACTTAAGTAACTGCTACTACTAGTTAGGAATACGCATTTTAAAAGTATAAGTTTTACAGTAAACCAATTTAAGTAAAGTAAAGTTAAGTTAACTTAACTTAAGTCAAGTTCAGTTGATCGAATCGAATCGAATCGAATCGTTAGATATCTAAGTAAACTTTAGTTAACTCAACTACGGAGTTTGCAGGCTGAGTATCCGAGAGAAGTTCAACTAAAGTGCGTAAGTGATTTAAGTCGCATTTAAATTGACAATTATTAAGTTGGCTTGGTGCTTTTACAGGGAATGAACTGAACTGTCTTATTAGAGTTCTCGTCGAATGTCTGCGATGTTGCTTATCAACATCATGCCGCATCGGAAAACAAAAATGTCAATTTAAGTAAAATAAGTTCTTTAAATGCAGATTAAGTATTGATAGACAATGATTATGAGAATAATAAGTTATGAATGATGATTATGAATGTGAAAATAAAAGAACTTATCACTTCCTGTTTGGTTTCTTGTTATATTATGTTATGTTATGCTATATATTATGTTATCGCTTGTTATAAATACGCTGCTTGTCTTGTTTAATTTTTATTCCGGTTGAGGTTAAAATCGAATAGTGTCTTCAATTTCACGAGACAATTCAACTGGCTTGGCTAACCAATTAGTTCTTGGTACTCGTATCTTCCTCGCTTGACTGGTTTATGCATCCAGAAGCAATTTATTAATTCGTCACTATCTACACTTCTTGTATGACTATCAGTTTGAAATTAACTTTATCATTGTGATGATGTATTAATGAATGATGATCAATTATTATGCTAATTATAATTGCATATAGCAGTGTTCATAATTTGTATTTATATTGTTATTAATATTAATATTGTACTTACCACAATGGGTCCGTTTTCGCCTGCACTGTGCACTGTCGCGCCGAACCACTGATTTGATTTCGAGTCGATTTCGATTTTGTTTTGGTCTACGTTCGAACCTGAAAGAGATAAAAATATGTACACGTGATGTTTACGTTATGATTTCTACTTCCAATATATTTCTACGGTGTGGTTTTTGTATTTCAAGTTTTGAATTTTAAATATTAGAAACTCGTTTGAATAACATTAGGAAATGTGAGGTTATATATGATCTTGTCCTGCACAGTAGGCAAATGCGCAGTCACAAGTTCCACTCCGTGACTAAAACCCGTGAATAAAGTACTTTAGTCGCATCCCATAGCTAAAACACTCCTGCTTAACCATTTAATACTTAATATACTATTTTAATTCTAAAAATATTGCTTTATTGCTACTTATCTTATAAAACTTATAAATAAACGATTATGTTGTAAATTATTTATCATTCTACAATATTATTAATGGCACCTAACGGTATTGAATGTTGTGTCTAAAAACATAGTAAATTCTCAACTCGTAATCTGTAAATTAGAAAATTCTAACGTTTCTTGTGCAACTCTTGTGCAACATATTGTAAAATACAAACTCTAAACACAAGTGCAATTAATTAACGGATGACACACAACGACCAGAGGAAAACGTGAACACTGCACACGTTTATCGCACATATTCTCAATTTTCTCAATAAAATACCAGCTGCCTAACTGCCTTCTACTCGTACTCGAACTTAGCTTGAATCTTGGTTCAATCTTTCTCTCACACAAAATATATACATACATTCATATAATGAGAACAACTCCTTATAGTTTATAGTTTATAATATTCTCTAATAAAAGTAAGAGAATAAATTGCATTGACACATTCCGATGCTAATTAACCTACGATTAGCGTCTCTCTGCCGCGATTTATATCTTCAACTTTACATATTTATCAATTTCTTCAAAGACGCGCCACTTCGCCAGCTGACGATAAATTAAATTAAACAAACTGCGGCAATAATAACTTAATCATGAAATTATAACCTGTTGCTACTAAGCAGCAGTAAACTGTAAACGCAGCCGGCAGTAATTGCTGTTTTAGTTTTACAAATTGGAAAAATTATTGCTGAATTCAAGTTAGGCTGGCAATCGACACGACTTTCTTGGTTTAATTAATGCCATAAATTTAGTCACAGCACTCAACAACCAATATTTTATTTAATTATTAAATGAATTATTTATTATTGAAATTGTTTGTATATTAAACATGCACATGTGTTTAATATTCCATTTTTTGATTTTTGTTTTTTTTTAAACCAAAAAACCGATTTTTTTTTTCTTTTCTTTATTTTTGGTTTGTAAGTTATGACAATTTGTAGGCGCAAAATAGAAATCCCACGAATACCAAGGAACCCACGAAATTTTCCAGCCCACGATTGTTTCTAATACGATTTAATCTTGTTTATAGTGTGAGCGGAACAAAAAATGCTTTATATTTAGACCAGTAAAATTTAAAAACTAAAATAAAGTACTTTAGTCACGGTCTTAGCCATCCGTATTAAGCTGCTATAAAATAAAATACCTTTTGTATCAAATGGCACTTCTTCACAATTGTTGTCCTGATCGATGCGACACCTGAACACAGAACCACCTCGCTCCACATTCGGTTGTTGACTTTGCGCCTTTGGAGCACCAATCAGCACCCTGCAAATAAAAATAAAACAAATTTAACCTCAATTAACATAATACTATAAAATTAAACATAAAAAATATTATGTTGTCTTTATAAACGTGGACGATACCACATTTACAAGTCCTCTCCATTGTTCGTGTTGATCGTCAAAGGTTATTCGGTTATTAGGTTAATGGCGCACGAGGGTAGTTTGCGAAGAAAATAGGATATGATGTCATCGCGACATCCTGACATTGATATAGAATAGATATATTCACACCCATCAAGGATAAAATGCAAATTAAATGCATTGTGATCGCAAAAAAATAAATATGCATCAATTTCATAATTGGAAATCATATCCTCATATCCTTAATGTCCTGGAGGGGGTTATATTTCAGGACAAGCCCACCGGACGAAATATTAGCATTAGGTTGACCTAGATGTGCTTCTAGACTCTAGATTTTTTTCTACAAACACGGCGGACGCATATTATACAGTATCTTAACGCAAATTCGTAAAAAATAAAATTTATAAAATCTATATATATATAAAAATGAATTGCTGTTCGTTAGTCTCGCTAAAACTCGAGAACGGCTGAACAGATTTATCTTATCTTGGTCTTGAATTATTCGTGGAGGTCTAGGGAAGGTTTAAAAGGTGAGAAAAATTCGAATAATTGCCGGGAAAATCCTCAAAACCGCTCTTTTCTATAGAATAAAATTTGACATTGAGATTCAATCATAGTTATAGTTAAATAGTTGAATTCGAGATGGCGCGCTGAAGTGCATTATTGACAAAACTTTATATGCATAATTTCTTTAAATTAAAATTGCTAATCTTATTGATAGGATTGACTCTTACTACGAGTATATCTAGAACAAGAGAGTAAAAACGAATTACATTTTTATTAAACACTGCCGGATCGAAGTCGCGGGCAACAGCTAGTAATTAATAAAATATTTTACGAAAATTTTAAGTATTATGAGAATTATAAACATTTTTGTATTTTTTTGTGTTGTGTATACCCTCAGTAGGTCTACATTGCGGTTTAATACGTGATGCGTGTGGGTGTGCCACTTTTTTAGGCCACGGTGATGCGATAGCGCATGAAACTCGCTCGGAAATCACCGACAAACACTAAAACAACTAAAAACGCTTGGAAGTCATGAGATAACAACAAAATTAGCAAATTAAACATTAAAAAACAAAAAATAATAAAATAAATGTATACAAGTCATAAATCTCAGCGCTCGTAAGATATATTAATAGAAAATTAACCGATAAAAATGAAGAAAGGTAAATTTTGTTAATTGACAAGTTGCCAAGTATTGCAAACACCCTGTACGTCCAGAAATAAACTTGGATGTGTTACTAATGTGCAGATGATTCACCTTTGTTACTGCAGACGACAAAATGACAAAAATAAGCAGGTAATTTTCAGGTGCTACAAAATTCATTTTTAAATATAACATTTGAGTTACTAAATACTTACAAAATTAAAAATAGAATTTTACACAATTTCCTCTTCACGTTTTGGTTTCTCTCCAATGATTTCAATGACTTCTCTTATTTATTCGCGTGATGATAAATTCAATACTTCACCAGCTCGCTTATTATTTATTATTTGTTACACGGCGCATGTTATCATTTCTGCTCGTCGGCGGTAATATTTTCGCCATGTTGGTTATGTTGCACACGGCGCGCATGAATCCAGGTGTTATAAGTTATAAGTATAGGCAACTCTTGTGCCTCGCGGGGCTGGCGCGCAGCGTGCGCGCACGACACGGCAACGCGGGCGATGTTAACAAATCAGTTTTTGCATTTTTCGTAACTCGAGAGTCTAGAAGTACGGAACGAGTAGAGCAATGCATTCGGTTACAATTCACTGGTCATATTTCTATCTTGTATTTTGTAAACACTAATCACTAACAACAATGTATTTATTTATTTAATTCCAAGAAAATTTTTAATTTAAAAAAAAAATGTGAATTTTTGTTATTACCTTTGTTTGTGGCTAGATGTCGTTAATTTCGCATGGAAACATTTCCGCAAGACATAAAGTATGAAAATAAAGTCACTTGAACGCACAATGACAATAAACTTCGTTGGCCATGCGGTAATAAATCGCAAAATGCAAAATCTGCTTATTCTGAGCGTATAAAATCACAAACCTCACATAACCTCACTCTACATAAGTTTAAAATCAAGTTGAAGGTTATTCACACAAAAAAATCGCATATTTTCTAATAGAAAACTAAAATCTCATGATTTGTAACATAAATGCTGACGTCACATTATGTTTGTATTCTGTATAAGTTAAACAAAGTAGGCGAGCGTTGAGAGTCGCCATATTTGGTCAACGATGTCGTCTACGTCTGGTTTCACGCTTTGTCACGCCGACCAATTCACGCAATCGACACCCATCATCAAAGCGTTGAGAAATTGTACTCACATCCCAACTAATATTATAAATGCGAAAGTCCTAATGTTTGTTACACTTTCACGCAAAAACTACTTAACCGATCATCATGAAAATTTGTACACATATTCTTAGTGGTCCCCGAATGGTTATAGGCTACTTTTTATTTAATAAAAAAAATATTTTTTAAATAAAATAAAGAAATAGTTTAGCCAATAATACCTCTGCATCTGGTTATTTGACTACTTTAACGCCATCTAGCATTCCAGCAATGAAGCTCAAACCTAAGTACTATAGTACTATCACACTGTATTATCACACTGTATTACCGACAGCTACGTCAATATCAAATCCAATTGACTACACTATGGAGACTGTACACTATACTTCCATAGACTATACTTTCAGCCATTTTAAACTTCCCGCCATTCTACTTCATTGTTACTTCTTCTGTGACTACAGACGCGTACGGAAGCAACTTCATTATTTTAGATATTCGCGAGCGAAGCCGCGGGTTAAAGCTAGTAAGGAATAATTTAATACGATTTGTTAGTTAAAACGTTTATAACTCAAGAACGGTTGGACAGATTTTGATCATCTATGATTTTTTAGATTCATCTTGGTCCAGAATAAGAGAATAAATATTAAAAAATTGAAAATTTTTATTTAAAGCATGTTAAATAAGGGATGAAAGGTTATATGGAAATTCATTATTTTAGATATTCGTGAGCGAAGCCGCGGGTTAAAGCTAGTTTTATATAACGCAATAATAAGGAAGACTACACCAGCGCCATCTATAGTAACCACAAGCGAACTAATTTACTAATTTACTTGTTTTCGAATGAAAAAAAAATGAAAAGAGAAGAATTGACGTCTGCAGAAAACAAAATTGAATTGTTAATGTTACCTGCGAGTCACGGGTGGCATCAATTCCTCTCCGCTGTCATTTTGTGCTCGCGAAGACAAATGTAATATATGCAACCGTGCAACCATCATATGTGCATTGGTGGGCGCCATACACAACTTTTTTTTTTATTTATGATTCTGTTTGTGTGAGTAAAGTAAAGAAGTACTTGTTGCATGCGACGTGTATATCCAAAATGCTAATATTTTCGGACGCATTGTTGCTGCTACGACTGCGCATGCGCTACTTTTGCATTCGATTGTGAATTGTAAATCGCGAGTCGGGATACACGCTCGACATGCCGCAAACAAGAATACATGTGTTCTGGATCATTCATACGACTTCTGTGTGCGCACTGAAACCTAACCTAACAATTTCTGTATATTAAAGTTTAAAGTTTAACTTTTTTGTTTTATTGTATCTGATTAATATTTATTGTTATGGTGCGTGTTTAGTTGGCTTAAGAAACTCTTCTACAAGAGCAGTTTATTTTTTATTCGCCATATTTAGCCCGTTGTGATGTTGTTTTCCCGTCTGGGTTACATCACGACGAATTCGAATGCATAATTGCGCGCAGCGAACAATGGCGACTGAAATTTTTTCCTCATTCGAATATTCGTCGCCAGAGGTCGGGTCACTCCGTGACTGGGCGGGCGGGCCAAAAAAGGCAAACCGTCCGTCTTGTGAACATCTCCAGTAAAGACACTGGAGACATTTAAATCGCATTGCAATCCAATAAAGATAAACATCTGCTATGAATTTGCATATGGAATTTAATTCTGCGCATGCGCATGATACTTAGTCTATTTAGTAGTTTAACCTGAAAATATAAAAATGCTGTATACAATCAACGAATAAAACGTTTGTGGACTTGTTTTATATAAATCAAACATACAGATACAAAAAAGGAAAAGAAAAACGTTTGGGGCACATTTATATTGCGCGGGAATTTGAATTGAATGGGTCCGATTTGAATGCGTATCGGGCGCGCGCATCTTGTCGCCGAGGCATACAAATGTAAATGCAAATGATGCGCGCGCGAATAAGCGGCGTAAAATGTGCGAACACTGCGCCGGAACAATCAGCGCATAAACATTTGCAGCTTTTATTGGTTTTTAGTATGTGTATTGGCTGCATTGCTTGTCAAGTGAGTGGACATCGCAGTTTTACTACCGATATGTTTTGACTTAAATCGTGGAACGACAAATTAATTCAGAAAATTGCTGTAAAAAGGAAAAAAAACGATACCTACAATGTCGGATATCCGATTATCATTTGTTTGTAAAATAGCATTTGTAATTTATGAACTGGAAAATAAAAAAAATTCTGTGAGATAAGCTAGTTAAGTTAGAAATTTAAAACTTGAAAAAATGATTTATAAGAAAAAATTGACAAATTTTGACAGTGAATATCTTCTAAACTAAAAGAGATAGCAACTAGAAAATTGTAGATTATGAAAGATTGGAAAATTCTCTATCAGATGGAAATAAAAAATTATTTAATTTAAAAGGGTAAAAGGTCTAAAAACGCGACTGAAAGTGCTAAAAATTGCAATTTTTATTTTTTGACAATTTCATTCAATTGCGAATATCTCGTGAACTAAAATAGATAGAAAGAAACGAATTGCAGAGTCTTAATCTCCGGAAAATTCTCTATAAGATAGGCTAGTTAAATTTAAGATAGAAATTTTAAATTTAAAAAAATAA